GAAAACAATAAAGAAGCAAAACACTACATCCCAATGACCTACTTGTGAGCTTCGATGTTGTATCTCTCTTCACACAAGTGCCCATTAATGAAGCCTTGACAGCCATTCAAAACAAATACAATCCCCCCGAATACATCCTGGACCTGACCAACCACTGCCTAACCAACACGTACTTCATCCACAATGGACAAAGATACAAAACAGATAGAAGGAGCACCTATGGGATCACCACTCTCACCGGTCATCGCAAACCTGTACATGGAACACTTTGAAACCAATGCTTTAGACAAGTCAGAACACAAACCCAAACTTTGGCTCAGATATGTTGACGACACCTTTGTAATTTGGCCACACGGGAAGGAAAAACTAGATAGCTTCCTCACACATCTCAACAGCCTACACCCCAAAATACAATTCACTATGGAAATAGAAGCCAACAACCAACTTCCCTTCCTTGACGTCCTAATCTACAAAAAACCTGATGGCTCCCTAGGACACACTATCTACCCGAAAAAAACACACACCAACCGCTACTTACATGCACAATCACACCACCACCCTGCACAAATAAACTCCGTAGCCAAGACTCTCATCTCCAGAACCAAACGCCTGGCTGACAAAGACCACTTGACAACTGAGTTACAGAATCTCTCCAATGTGTTAATCGCCAATGGATACCAGCAAAACAGGGTTACGAAGCTAATGCAAAAAGAAACACCCCCCAAAAACCAAGACACAGAAGAAAACAATGGCATGGCCCTCCTTCCTTATATCAAGGGCACTACAGATAAAATTAGCAAAATCCTCCATAAACACAATATCAAAACAGCCTTTTGCACCAACCAAAAAATAGCCAATATCCTCAGAAACCCAAGGATAAAATCCAGTTGGAAAACCAAGGGGTCTATGAAATACCCTGCAAAGTCTGCCCAGCCACGTACATTGGACAAACAAACAGACGAATAAATGCACGTATCGCAGAACACAAGAATGCCGTCAAAAAAGAAGAAAAAACTTCCTCTCTTTTCCAACACATGAAAGAAACAGGACACGAAATTAATTTTGCAGATTCCAAACTGCTCTCTAACATGGAACATCACCACAAGAGAATAATCATGGAAGCCATCGAGATAGAGAAACACCCTCACAACATGAACAAGCGTGACGACACATCCCGCCTGCCAGACATCTGGAAATTAGCCCTCCCCACAAAAACCGACACCAGATCCAGAGGCACACAGAACGCCATCACCAATCAACCACACCAGACCCAAACCCAGACCCTCTCCACAGATAAATTACAGACACCATCCAGTAGCCAAACCATGGTGGCACCTCCGGATGCTGCACCCCCCTGCAATCCCTACACAGATCTGGCTGGCACAGGACACAAAACCACAGCTCGCCCCTATACACGAAGCCAAGCCAGAGCACAACTAATTGCAGTACAGCCATCTTCTCAGAAAAACTCTTCACAAAGTTCAAGAGGTCAAGACACGAAGGCTTTAGCAACTAATCCACACCTAATGACCCACCTAAGTGGTACTCAGGATATCACTCAAGAAATCACTCAAGATATCCCTCAAGTAATTAAGGAACAAAAGAAGAAAAGACACACTAACCTGGGAACTTCCTCTCTGCCCAGAACATTGGAGGCTATACACCACACCCCCTCAACAGTATTTATAGGAACTCAAACACTGAGATCCTGCTCTGTTCCAGTAACAAGAAGCCGAAAGCACCAGCCTGAAGATGACGAGTGAGACCTCGTCGAAACGTCGCCTAGACACCCCAACTTTTACACGGGAAGACACCCGAGGACACCAAAACCTGCATTCCTATACCCGTGAAAATCTACGAAAGCAAATATATATATATATATATATATATATATAACACACAGTATATCCTTCCCCTTATACTGAGGGAAGGACCTCTTTTTCTTGTTTATGTTGCTTGTTTCACAAAACCCTCAAAACTTCAGCCACTTTGGAAGCCAGAGCTGGTATGTGGTCTTTCCCTGCCAAGCTTCCTTGCGATGTGGAGGGCTTCCGTGGGGGCTGTGAAGGGCTTTTATCAGCTGGGTGGGGTGTCTGTACAGAAGGGTGCAGCCTTTGTTCGCCTAGAACCAGGTGCCACCTTCTCAGGTGGCAGCAGTCCCACCCCGCCTCATGGGTGCACGTTGGCAATCTCAGCATTCCCATAAGCAGAGGGAGAGTTGAGCGAGTAGGGGTGCCAAGATGGCAGGAGGGGCGGGAAAACTTGTTGGGACGTCTTTGTCACTTCTTGCCCTGCTGTTGAATTCCCAAAGCATGACTTCTGAGAGCTGTGCCTGCTTCCAAACCTGTATCGTTGCTTGCCTGACAGGATACCTCTTCCTTTCTTACAAGCAAGAGCTTCTTTCTCTGTGTGTGTTAGGTAGGAGCCTGAATAGCCATTCCCTGTTATCAAGATGGCCAAACTCAACCATATAGGTAAAGGGGTAAAGGGACCCCTGACCATTAGGTCCAGTCGCAGATGACTCTGGGGTTGCGGTGCTCATCTCGCTTTATTAGCCGAGGGAGCTGGCGTACAGTTTCCGGGTCATGTGGCCAGCATGACTAAGCTGCTTCTGGCGAACCAGAGCAGCACACGGAAACGCCGTTTACCTTCCCGCCAGAGCGGTACCTATTTATCTACTTGCACTTTGTGCTTTCAAACTGCTAGGTTGGCAGGAGCAGGGGCCAAGCAACGGGAGCTCACCCCATTGCAGGGATTCGAACTGCCGACCTTCTGATCAGCAAGTCCTAGGCTCTGTGGTTTAACCCACAGCGCCACCCGCGTCCCATATACAGGCCCTTATTTGGTATCAAAAATGATGGTCAACACTGATTATCCGATAACCCTCGGCAGCAACTCGTTTCTTTCTTGTAATGAGGAATTATTCTTATTTGCTTGTTCTTTGCAACAACATGTTTCTTATATTTCTTCATAAAATATTGGAAACTTACCTTTCCATAAGTTCAAGGCAGCTTTAATCATCTCAAAAATTAAAACAAAGCAAACAAAGTAAACTGAGTGGCCTCCACCTTACTTTCTATGATGATTTGTCCAAACTCCATTTTCTGGGTGTTCCTGAGTCTGATAATGGGAAGTGAGCTAGACTGGGAGCAAAGTGCCTTGGACAACAGAGGGAAGAAAGGAGAATTCAACTCTCCTCTCCTACATCCACACACAAAAAAAACACATCCTCATGATCTGCGAATGCAGCAGAACACGACTAAGCATACAATGTTGTCATGGGCACCATGTCTAGTTTAGCCCTTTGATCCCACAGCAAATAGGATGAAGGGTTATTGGGGGGGGGGGCATAGCTGTCAACTGTCCCTTATTTGGCGGGAAAATCCCTTATCCCAGCGCCATGTCCCGCTGCTGTCCCTTATTGATGATGTCCCTTAAATTTCCTGGGTCTCAAAGGAAGCAGCTGCTCTCCCTCCCTGCCGGCCAGGGAGGAGGGAGGCTCCAACTGTGTTGCTTGGCTGCGTTGCTCACCCAATAAGGAGTCTAAGAACGACTGGGGGGTGGAGCTTGCATGCCTTGTGTTGCCTGGGGACTCGCCTTTGCTCAGCGCTTCCCAGCGGAGAGGTGACGGTGGTTTTCCTTCCTGCATCCCCTTTGCCGGGTTGCTGCGCTGTGGGAACCACCACTTGAAGCTTCATTTGGCTGCTGGCTGGGCTTTCTGCTTTTGGCTTGGAGGGGCTCAGAAGCTGAACATACCTGTGCTGGGAAAATCCCTTATTTTGGCTGCTGATCCCTTATTTTGGCTGCTGATCCCTTATTTTTGAGGCTGCTGGTCCCTTATTTTCAAATCTGTAAGTTGACAGCTGGGTGGGAATGCTGCTGCTGCTGCTGCTGCTGCTGCTAAATATTTGTCCGGGTAATGAAGCCGGCAAAAGAGAGAATGAGAACTGGATAAGAAGCTTCTTACCAATTTTTTACACTCTTTGAAGGTGTTGCTGTTCAGGACGTTGCAAGACGTTTCCACCATCACTTGCTTCACCACATTGCCATTGCACAATGAAGATGCCAAGCTCTGTCCCTGAGAAAGCTTAACAAAGGGAAGCAATATTGACATGTTGTTATTACTATACCATATGTGGCTACTTAACATTCATCTGTTTATTTATTTAGCCTATATGTAGCAACAACAGTGATGATCCAATCTAGGAAGTCACCACTGGATCCCAATAAACAGACAGGGACAGATCTTAATATTCAATATTTCATTTCTTTATGAAAATGGCAAGCTGAGCAGTTTATGGTTGGGCACGTGGAAGTAGCTGTGCAGTTCTTGCACCCTGTTCCATATTCACAATCTTAACAAGTGTACATGCAAAAAGGGAAATGGGTAAGTTAAGAAGCACATTTGAAACCCGTGATAGCAGAATCAGCTATAAATAAAAAGGTAAAGGACCCCTGACAGTTAAGTCCAGTCACAAACGACTCTAGGGTTGCGGCGCTCATCTCGCTTTACTGGCCAAGGGAGCTGGCGTTTGTCCGCAGACAGTTTTTCTGGGTCATGTGGCCAGCATGATTAAGTTGTTCTGGCGAAAACAGAGCAGCGCACGGAAACGCCGTTTACCTTCCCACCAGAGTGGTACCTATTTATCTACTTGCACTTTGACGTGCTTTCAAACTGCTAGGTTGGCAGGAGCTGGGACCGAGCAACAGGAGCTCACTCCATCATGGGGATTTGAACCGCCGACCTTCCGATCGGTAAGCCCAAGGCTCAGTGGTTTACACCACAGCGCCATAGGGACCTCCAAATATAGATAACAAACTGGAAACCATGAAAAGCCAGCTTCTCAGCATCTGGCCATACACTATCAGTTTTTAATTTCATACTGAAGCCTTAGAAGACTTCATGTTTGAATTAATTGTGGGATGTATCTTAATTTATTGATCACTTGTTTTTATTCATTGTCTTACTTGTATGATGTTAGCCGCTCTGAGCCCAGCTTTGGCCGGCGAGGGCAGGATATAAATAAAAATTATTATTATTATTATTATTAATTTTTTTACCAGACTCACAATCATAACTGCTTTAGCTTAATCTCCAACAATAAAATCATGGTTGATGCAAACTTCAAGGCAAACGCATCACAACCGTCAACATGTACTTATTTTGTCTTCAGAATTATTTATTATTCTTTGATTGGATTCTTTGATGAAAGGCGTTAGGGAGGCTTAGACAATTCTCCAAGTCATACCCATGAGGCAAGGATCAGGGTCACAGACAAATCCTAGAACATTAAGCACATCCAGACCATTCACTAGACCTATCTATCTGGAGATTTAAAAAGTGGAAGTGTGGACAAGTGATTCTGCCCCTTCCCATTCTGTTCACACCAGCAATACCTTTGTGACATCAGCACACTGTGAATTAACTTTCCAGGAATTCCCAAAGTCACTTGGATCCACTTCAAGCTGGTTTTTGCTGCTGGTCAAGTCATTGTTTTGGATACCATCAAAATTGCCACACAGACCACATACTTTATCCTTGAATATAAACAAACCACAATAACACACATTTATACAATAAAAATGATTTTTGCACTCTGATATAATTATTATTATTTACTAAATGTCTATACCGTCCGTCATCCAAGGATCACAGGGGAGTTTAGAATATAAAAACATAAAAAAGGATATCATAATAACAAACAAAAACAGTAACACTCCATCACCACCATTCAAAGGGCCATAGATTGTTAAATCAGATTCCTAATTAGTTTACTTAAGAAAGTTTTTGCCTTGTACCTAAAGATATGTAATGAAGGTGCCAGACGAGCCTCTCTGGAGAGAGCATTCCACAATGGGGAGTCACCTGAGAAAAAGCCCTTCTCGTGTTGCCACCCTCCAGGTGTCTCATGGAAGAGGCACGCGAAGAATGGCCTCAGATGATAATTACTGGGTCTGAGTTGGTTCGTACGGGGAGAAGCTGAGGTCAGAAAGCTCTGAGAACAACCGAAAATATATTTGCTCCGGCAGGCTTTCCAATAAGTGGACCTCTACCACAAATGTCTACTTTGAATGGTTTTAATTTTGCTTTCATTTGCTCTTTTTGTGATTTCAACAGTTATTAATTATCTTTAATGTATACTGCCTAGACACAGTTGCTTAGAAGGCGCTTAATAAATTGATAGTGGTGATGATTAGGTCCAAGGAGTTCCTGGCAGTGTGGAGGTGAAATGTAATTCACCCCATGTTCTCTTATCTTCACAACAAGGCAGGTTAGGCTGAGAGGGAGGGACTGGCCCAAGTTCATGGCTGAGGTGGGCTTTGAACCTCAGTTTCCTCAGTGCTGGGTTACCAAATAGGCAGAGCAGGCAGATTTGTGGGGCCCTGCGACAACAAATCAAAATAATATTGATTTAATCTTGAAAGAAAATTACAACCAAGCTGTCTTAGTTCAATGTTATCCCACTAGAAGAAGAAGAAGAGTTTGGATTTGATATCCCGCCTTTCACTCCCTTTAAGGAGTCTCAAAGCGGCTAACAATCTCCTTTCCCTTCCTCCCCCACAACAAACACTCTGTGGGGTGAGTGGGGCTGAGAGACTCCAGAGAAGTGTGACTAGCCCAAAGTCACCTAGCAGCTGTATGTGGAGGAGCGGGGAAGCGAACCCGGTTACCCAGATTACGTGACTACCGCTCTTAACCACTACACCACACTGGCTCTCTAGGAGATAATCTGCGATCCCACCCACCCACCCCGCATATTTTGACTGCCCAGGGTCCTCCAAAGGGTTTAATCCAGTTCTTCGTCTCCCCAGATCAAACCCAACACTATAGCAACTACCCCATTGGATCTCATATGCAATTAAGAAAGGATGCAATTCAACTATGTTTTACTGAGAGGAGATCCATTGAAATCAATGAACATGATTAAGTTAGGTCCATTCAGGGATGTCTTAAGCATATTCGGCGCCATGGTGCAAAGCTCTCTCCGGCACCCCCCTCTCCCCTGTTTCCCAGAGTTGTCAACTTTTTTTTTAGGGAGGGCTTCATGCCATAGTGGCCACAGCAAATGGAGGCTCTGGACGCGGCGCTGCATGGCGGAGGCAGGCGAGGGCAGCGAGCTGATGCTGGGAGGCGCCACGTCCAGCCTCTGCCTCTTCCCTGGCACCCTCCAGAACTTGGTGCCCTGCGCCACTAGCCTCTATGGGTAAGATGCCCCTGGGTCCATTAATTTCAGTGGGTCAACTCTGAGCTTGGCTGAATAATGCTCTCTATCCTGTGTTCTGTCAGATGAAGCAAGAGTTTTCCTCCATCAGTCCCTGATGGTGCCTTGCCCTGCCTCCATCTCTCTCTTCCTTTCTCCTGTCCGAATGGTGTCAGTTGATTGGGAAAATGTATACCCAGAAGCATTCTGTTCTGGGAATGCTGTACATTTGATGGCTCTGTACTGTTTATGCCACCTTGTGGGCCTCAGTGAGAAAACACAGAATGGCTGGCATAAACACACACACACTTATTTCAAAATAAACCAGAGTGCACTTACTTTATAGTTCTCTTTCAGAATAACCGTAAGGCCCATGTCTCGATCCCAAGTGAGAGCAATTCCTCCTCCACCCAGCAACAAGATGTAGTAACGCCCAGACTTCAAGACTTCAAAGTTGACTTCTTCTCTAGGAGGTGTCAAGATGTTTACCTTCATCAGAAAGATATATATAGAAACTTCAGCAATGGAGCTATAGGTTACTTCCATACACAATCCCAGGAGCACCATCAGTGATTGGCACTTGCGTTCAACGCTGTGGGCTTGCGGGGGATCCTGCCCTCTCCACAGGACCCAAAAATGCTGGTGCCAGCTCAGCCCAGGTCTCTTACATGCTTTTTGCTTTCCCACTTCCCTAAGTGGTAAGACATTACAGGGGACAGCCTTTATAGCAGTGTTTCCCAACCTTTTTTGGGCAAAGGCACACTTGTTTCATGAAAAAAATCTCGAGGCACACCACCATGCCAGATGGGGAAAGGTCACTTTTTACTTATGTAAAAAAAAATAAAAAAATAGTAACAGCATAGAAGGTAATGGTTAGGCTAGCATCCCTCTTCCAAATATGCTAGGTTTTTATTTGCAGGGACTGTTCTACATGGGAAAGCATTCAGCACTGTCATTCTCCCATCTGCCATCTGAATTGGTACTATTCTGGGTCAACTTACTCTGCTGCATGTGTAGATGAAAATGGCACCAAGTGTGGGGGAGGGGGCAGAACAGGTTTCAGATACAGGATATTAAGCATACACGTACTTCAGATTGAACTGGTTGCTTGCTTTGCAAGTTTTCATTTCCCAAATGACTGCCTTGGCAAGCGCAATACCTACCAGGCTCAACGCCGGTCTCGCGCTGCCGCTTCCCGCGCTCTCAAGGACCCGGGAGGAGGAAGGCGTGAAGGGAATCCCGAAGGCGCGAAAACCTCGCGCATGCGCAGGCCTTCCGCCTGCGACAGCCCAGTAGGCCGGCCGAAGCGAGCGGCGATGGGATGTGGGAGGGAGCTCGCTCGCCGCCCGGCGTGTGCCTATGTGGGGCACGTTACAGCCCCGTGACGTCAGCGCCACGCAGGCAGCCAGGCAGGCAGACGGCGAGAGCCCCGCACTGGGCGGCCTCTCCTCGCCGCCGCCGCCCCGCCTCTCGCCGCCCGACTCGCCCGCCTCCCTCCAGGCAACATCTCGCGGCACACCAGGCAATGTCTCGCGGCACACTAGTGTGCCGCGGAACACCGGTTGGGAAACACTGCTTTATAGGATCAGCTGTGAGAAGAGTGTACAGGACATTTCTGGGGTCTTGCAATAACTATTTATCAAGTATAGTTGAAGCTTTCCTCAGGTTTATTGCACACTGCCCTAAAATCCTTGGATGAAGGGCAGTTTAGAAATATTTTAAATAAAATAAGTTTGAATTTGTTTCACTGTTGACTAAAGGGAGTAGCAAAGTTTACTAGCATTGAGGTTTAAAGATGTGCAACAAGCACACAGGAGGGAGGAGCATAAACACAGCTTTAGTTCAGCTCTGCAATAGCCTAGAAGCTCTTAGTAACTCTTTCCATCAAGCGGATTGAAGATACTTTCCCCCTCTTCTGCTTCAGAAATATCCTGTTAGACCGAACTCAGCCAAGAATCCAGTCATTTTCTACGTCCATAGTGCCCATCATCAAGTGTCACACCATGCAAAAATTTGTTCTGCACTGCAACCTACGCATGTTTACTCAGAGGTAACTAGGTATAAGATTGCAGCTTCATGCAACTTTTCTAGGAGCTAGTCATGGCTCCTGTTGAATCGCTCATCCAGCTATCCCAGAAGGATAGGAAAATTTATGTTGGATCTATTTCTGGCTGAACCAATGTTCATGGTGCAGATGCGCTGTCAGGGAACTGCCATCGGAAGGACAGGAGGTGGAAGGGCTCACACAGGTTGGGAGAGACTCAGCAGCGGAAGAGGGAATCAGCAGGGGGAGACGAGGTGATCCGAGGGAAAGCGAGCAGGAGGGATGGCTCAGGGAGACTTCCAGCGAGGGTAGTGGGGAGGTTTCAGGACCTCCTGTAGGGACACCCACCCCTCGCCGGAAACTGTCACACAGAGAGTCAAGAAGACGTGTTTCCGTTAAGGAGCTTTTATGTTGGAAGAGATTTCGAAAGCAACCACTTTCGGAATCTGCCAGCGACTGACGGAGCCATGCTTAAGGGGCTCCGTTACAGACAGAGGTTTGCGGACTCGAGCAAACTCTGAGGGATTTGGATTTTACGCACAAGCAGCGCATCATCCCATCACATGCGCAGCAGCAGCCTGGGTAAAAAAAGAGCAAGGTTGGTTCAGTGCAGAATTTAGCCACTCATCTTCACTAGCCAGATGCCTCTGAGGAGCCTTCAGAAAGAGCTCAGTGGAGACAGTTATTTCCTTCTTATCTCAGGTAACACTCAGGTGTAAAGCTGATAGGTGTCTATAGACTTCTCCATGAATTTGTGATGTGCTTTTGATTTTTTTAAAAATCAAAGTTAATGGGCATCACGACATCCACGAATGATGAGTTCCATGTGTTAACTGCACAAAGAAATACTTTCTGATTTCTTGCATAAACCTGTTGCCTGTCACTTGACTGGCTGGTTTTGAGAGGGAAACATCTGTAAATTTTACTCACAGAACTCATAGTTTTATAAATCTCTATTCTCTCTCTCTCTCTCTCTCTCTCTCTCACACACACACACACACACACACAACACATAGTGTTCCCCCTCCATGTGCCTAACTGGTAAATTTCTGTTCTTTAACTTTAAAAGAGGATAAGGAAGAGGCTTGAAGGTGTTAGCCGCCCTGAGCCTGGGGTATAAATAAATATTATTATCATCATTATTAACTCCTGAAGATGGCACAGCTCCTCTCTGCCACTGAAAGGTCGGTGTGCCCTGAGGCAGAGGAACAGAGTTGTCTAGGCCAGCAAGCTGCTAGTTTATGTGTTTTAAAATATTGCTCCCTTTGTTGGTGTAAATTCAATTGAGCTTTTTTTAAAAACTGAATTGTTTGTGTCTTCGAATAAACAGAAGTGCTTTTTTCCCCCCTGTGCAACTTAAAAATGAAATCTTTGAATGGAAAAAAAAAATGGTGGCAACCACTCTTTGTATGTTCAAACCCCAAAACAAAGAAGCATTGTGTGCCTTCAGATTTCACTGCAAAAAAATGTTTGCAAAGCTCTAGTATTCCAGGGATAATACAGCACTTTCGGAAGTTTAGGTAATGGTAATTCTATAACACACTGGAGATCTGTGAAGGATGAATGCAGCGACATTCCTGGCTGTTACAATGCCCAAGACAAACAGCTGAACTCTGCCCTCTGGAAGGGGGCTCCGTCTTTTGTTCTTCCTTTTTCTGTGTGAGGGGAAATGCAAAGTGGGGTGGACCCTCTGATTTCCTTTGCATAACATGCGGTTGAAAGGAGGGAAGAGCAACAGGGCCATCTACAGAATTATTATTTTTATCCTGGTCAAGCCAAGATTTGCTTTTAACAGAGGGCTAAATATCTGAAGTCTCTTGCGTCCTGGATTTTGCCTTCTCTTGAAAGGTATGCCTTTTTTCCATCAGTCTTTTCTCCTCACCCCTGAATTGGTTGGGAAAGTATCTGGTGACTATTTTGTGCAGATCTGTCCTAAAGTTCTCGGCTTTGGGAAGTGTGAGATAGAAATGAAGAAGAAGAGTTTGGATTTGATATCCCGCCTTTCACTCCCCTTCAGGAGTCTCAAAGCGGCTAACATTTTCCTTTCCCTTCCTCCCCCACAACAAACACTCTGTGAGGTGAGTGGGGCTGAGAGACTTCAGAGAAGTGTGACTGGCCCAAGGTCACCCAGCAGCTGCATGTGGAGGAGCGGAGACGCGAACCCGGTTCCCCAGATTACGTGACTACCGCTCTTAACCACTACACCACACTGGTGCTCTTGAAGGAAGCACCAGTACAGTCGCACCTTGGATCCCGAAAACCTTGCGAGTCAAACGTTTTGGCTCCCGAACACGGCGAACCTGGAAGTGAGTGTTCCGGTTTCCAAACGTTCTTTGGAACCTGAACGTCCAATGGGGCTTCCTTGGCTTCTGATTGGCTTCAGGAGCTTCCTGCAGCCAATCAGAAGCTGCACTTCTGAATGTTTTGGAAGTCAAACGGATTCCGTTTGACTTCCAAGGCACAACTGTTGTTGTTTAGTTGTTTAGTCGTGTCCGACTCTTCGTGACCCCATGGACCAGAGCACGCCAGGCCCTCCTGTCTTCCACTGCCTCCCGCAGTTTGGTCAGACTCATGCTGGTAGCTTCAAGAACACTGTCCAACCATCTTGTCCTCTGTCGTCCCCTTCTCCTTGTGCCCTCAATCTTTCCCAACATCAGGGTCTTTTCCAGGGAGTCTTCTCTTTTCATGAGGTGGCCAAAGTATTGGAGCCTCAGCTTCAGGATCTGTCCTTCCAGTGAGCACCCAGGGCTGATTTCCTTATGAATGGAGAGGTTTGATCTTCTTGCAGCCCATGGGACTCTCAAGAGTCTCCTCCAACACCATAATACAAAAGCATCAATTCTTTGGTGATCAGCCTTCTTTATGGTCCAGCTCTCACTTCCATACACCACTACTGGGAAAACCATAGCTTTTATTATACGGACCTTTGTTGGCAAGGTGATGTCTCTACTTTTTAAGATGCTGTCTAGGTTTGTCATTGCTTTTCTCCCAAGAAGCAGGTGTCTTTTAATTTCGTGGCTGCTGTCACCATCTGCAGTGATCATGGAGCCCAAGAAAGTAAAATCTCTCACTGCCTCCATTTCTTCCCCTTCTATTTGCCAGGAGGTGATGGGCCCAGTGGCCATGATCTTCGTTTTTTTGATGTTGCTATTTTAAATGCAAGGAAGAAGGAGGCACTTTGCCGGATATGTAACAATCCAGCCTCCCATAACTATCCTCTCTTGTCGTATTCCAGGTTCCCAGACTGCTGCAATGCAGTAGAAACTTTTTAAAGGAGTGCCAGCAGAGTTAGAGTTTTCTTCTGCCATGAAATCTGAATTTAATAACAAAAGATAGTGGAGCTCAAGTGTGCCTTAACAACAGGACCTGCTCTTTGGAAATGGTTACTGTCACCCAGTGGTGTAGCGTGGGGGGTGCCAGGGGTGCCGGCCGCACTGGGCACAACATCTGGGGGGGGGGAGCGAGTCCAGAGGGCCCAGCCCCGTCGTGCCCTCGGCCCGCCCCTATTGTCAGAGCGGCCGGCCAGCCTCCGCCTGCTCCTACCTTGCCCACCCGAGGACTGCGGCAGTGCCCGCCCCCGTGGCCACCTACCCCCACCTCGCCCATTGGCTTGCCTCCCTCAGCCCCGCCTCTCTCCGATGGCCACGGGGGTGTCCTGCTCGGCGCCGGCACCTTTTTTCAGGAGGTAGGGAGGCTGGACGGGGAGGTGGGGTCGGAAGCGGGCAGAGAAGGAGGGGAGCTCGTAGCCAAAAGGGCTGCGCCGGCCGGCAAAGGGCCGGGGAAAGTTTGGAGAGGAGAAACGCACCGTCATGATTTCCCAGTGGAAGCGGCAGGATTAGGGATGGCAAAGCGTAATTACGCACGAATTTCGCTGGGTGAGAGCTTCGGGGATTGATCAACGGAAATGGGAATCAATTGGAATATGAGAAAGAGAGAGGGGGGACCATCATTCATAGGCATAGATTTGTAGGGTTAGGGGGCGCAAATCCACGGGTTAGGGGGCGCAAATTACTTGCCTTGCCCCGGGTTAGGGGGCGCAAATTACTTGCCTTGCCCCGGGTGCTGACAACCCACGCTACGCCGCTGCTGTCACCACAACTGGTTAACACGGATTATCTTGGTGCGTGGGAGAGCTGGGGGGAATTTTTGACGTATTTAAGGCACCCATGAGCACCAACACAGAAAACAAGTTCTTGGGCTAATATGCAGGAGCCCTGCTTCGAAGGAAACCTTAAAGAGCCTAGATTCTCTGTTAGTAAACCTAAATTGATTGCTCTCATCATCCACCAAGGGCTTCAGAGGGCTCATCCAGACTCCCGCTTGTCTTGACACCCCCCCCCCAAGCCAGATCTTTACCTCTGAATCAGAGCATGCATCAATTGAGTTTTCCCCAGATTGGTGTTTGCTCTGATTCAGTGCTAAAGAGCAGGTTTTCCCTGGGGCAAATGGAGAAGCAGAAGTGTGAACAAGCCCAGAAAGTCCTGCCCCACTGCAAAGTCAGCAATATGGAATGCCTTGCTTTTAAACATGACACCACTGAGATCATAGTGAAGGTAAAAGGACCCCTGACCATTAGGTCCAGTCGTGGCAGACTCTGGGGTTGCGGCGCTCATCTCGCTTTATTGGCCGAGGGAGCCGGCGTACAGCTTCCAGGTCATGTGGCCAGCAGGACTAAGCCGCTTCTGGAGAACCAGAGCAGCGCACGGAAATGCTGTTTACCTTCCCGCCAGAGCGGTACCTATTTATCTACTTGCACTTTGACATGCTTTCGAACTGCTAGGTTGGCAGGAGTAGGAACAGAGCAACAGGAGCTCAACCCGTCGCGGGGATTCGAACCGCTGACCTTCTGATCGGCAAGTGGTTTAACCCACAGCGCCACCCGCATCCCACTAAAGTTTGCCGACCCCCTGTTCTAGTCCAACCCCCTGCAATGCAGGTATAGGCAGCTGTCCCTTACGGGGATCAAACCTGCAACCTTGGCGTTATCAGCACCACACTCTAACCAACTGAGCTATCCAGGCTGGTCATAGAGTAGCATATTAATCATGTCAAAAGTTCTTGGTCCAGACTTTTTAGAAAAGCATTATAAGGCTTGCTTCTCCACAAGGGGACTGAAGTAAAGATAACGGGCTCATACTTACATCTCCGTTGTACAGCTCAATCACTCCACTGTCAAAGAGAATGCTAATCCTTTTAGTGCATGTCTCTCCTGTGAAGCTACATCCCTCATTGGCAATGAGTACTCGGAAGGTTCCAGAATCATCACTACCATCGCAGTAATCCTTTAAGAAAGGGAAGTGGCATTGACGACAGATGTTTTGAACATGCACACAGATTAAAGGTACAGTGGTACCTCAGGTTAAGTACTTAATTCATTCTGGAGGTCCGTACTTAACCTGAAACTGTTCTTAACCTGAAGCACCACTTTAGCTAATGGGGCCTCCTGCTGCTGCCGCGCCGCCGGAGCCCGATTTCTGTTCTCATCCTGAAGCAAAGTTCTTAACCTGAAGCACTATTTCTGGGTTAGCAGAGTCTGTAACCTGAAGCGTATGTAACCTGAAGTGTATGTAACCTGAGATACCACTGTAAAGGTAAATGGACCCCTGACCATTAGGTCCAGTTGCGGACAAATCTGGGGTTGCGGCGCTCATCTCACTTTACTGGCAAAGGGAGCCGGCGTACAGCTTCCGGGTCATGTGGCCAGCATGACTAAGCCGCTTCTGGAAAACCAGAGCAGCGCACAGAAATGCCGTTTACCTTCCCGCCGGAGCGGTACCTATTTATCTACTTGCACTTTGACGTGCTTTCGAACTGCTAGGTTGGCAGGAGCAAGGACCGAGCAACAGGAGCTCACCCCGTCGTGGGGATTTGAACCGCTGACCTTCTGATTAGCAAGCCCTAGGCTCAGTGGTACCACAGCGCCACCCGCGTCCCACACACAGATTACTTGAGGTTTTATTGACAATTGTGTTATACGAATGTTATTAAATAAATAATAAAGATCACAAGTGTAGGGTTTACCATTAAAATCTGAGTATCTTGAGATTTCAGAACAATAACCTGAGATCTTTTTCTCTGCACTTTGGGCTCTAAGTAAAAAATCAGCTGTGGAACTTGATCAAAGCCATGTGCACTTGCATGCGTCTCTTCACTCTGATGCCTCCTCAAACATCACTGCTGCAATCTATGTGCGAATGCAAAACATCCACCCACAAATGGACAAAGCCAATTTAGGTCCATACAGTTACAGCACTGCACAGCACTATACCACCAGAACTGGCTTTTAGGCTGCTGTGGAGCATAGGAATTGGACCTGAGCATAGTGGTTAAAAAACCAATTTAATGTAAAAGGTTTTCATTTCAGAATCTTGTATGCATTTATAGATGGATGAGTCCCACTGATTCTGAAAGGGACTTACACAACTGTCCGCATGCAAAGATTGCTACAGGACAACCTATTCCTCTCTCTCCTGTTTCTCATAGCATCATCCTGCCCCAGGCAGTGGAACACAGCTCTGCAACTCTATCCAGGGGTCCCTCAGTTTTGTCTGGCCTTGATACTCAGCAAAACTTTACAGTTGCCACCAGCTCTGCCCTTTCCCCTAACTGCAGGTGGGGTTCTCATCTGTGACACTATACTAACCTTCAGAACTCAAGTGAGAAAACTTGCTACAAAGTGCCTTTGGACCCCAGCACAATATCCCAGAAATCTCTCATCTTTCTCTAGGCTTTGGAGAAGAGTGATAACTTTGTTCTCAATATCATGTGGGCTTTGGAGAAACCTGGAAACAGCTGTACTTCTCACTGTGCCTCCAAAGCCCAGAACAAAAACTGTGAGGTATCCCTCACCAGATTAAAAGTGAACCATCACTGTGACAACTTGGCAGGTATGTTAGATCTGCCTCACTTGCTACTCAACATCTTAGGAACCTTCTGGCTATGCTTGCTTCACTGGCCAATGTTTGCACCAGCTTGGAGGGCAGTGAGCTTTGACCCTATTGGACATGGCCTGTTGTGACCCTGCTCTCCTTCCTATCCAGGCCTACGGCCTGTTGATGAGACACTGGTGTGCTCTTCTCCAATGCCAGACTGTGAAATCACACTCTTGATTTAAAGTGGTCATCAAATATATACAATCTAAAGTGACTTTGAGAGTTTCTTCTCTGGTAAAGTGTGTTCTCCTTCATGGAGAGCACGTGTTGTGGTGGGGGCCACCAGGACACTCCAAAGTTGTGGGGCGGGCTAATTGATCGTTGGCCACTGATGTGATTGGGCTTCCCTTGTCGTTGGGAAGAGGTTAATGTTGCCATTTGTTGATTGACAGCCAGAAATGCTAAAACTCCTTGCACGAGGCTAGGACTTCCTCTTTTCGCCCGTGCATTGGATTGCCCGCCCCCCCCCCCATATTTAGGGTTGTTCGCTTTACCTTGCTATGCCTATCATGGGCTCGTCTGCTCTTGGGGCAGGGGCCTGGTAGGAATTTGTCCATCTGGCTGATTGGCCGGTGCCATTTGGTTTTTGCCTACTGCATAGCAAATCATCACAACTTGTAATGTTGTGGTTAGGCATTGGTTTATGGTTTGGTTGGTTGAGGGGCATGGATTGGCTGTGCCTGCCCCTCTAATGCTGCTGCTGCAAGGGATTCCGTTAAAGGAATCAGGGGCTAACTATCGCTTGTCCACCCTGTCAAGGGGGCTCGGGCCACTGCAAGAGCTCCTGGTTGCATTTGGGGAGGGCTGAGGGCAGGTTCCCTGCTCCGTCGCTACCCCCAAGTGTATTCCCCTTTTCTGACTTTCGCCGGCGTGTGGAATGTCAGTATGTCCCCCATGGGGGGCAGATAGTCGCAACCAATGCCTAAGCAACCACTCACATTTTTGTATTTTAATAAAGTTGTGGCCGAAATTATGCCAAAAACCTTAAACAAAAATTTCTGTGTGGTGTGTGAGCTATTACAGTGGTACCCCCGCAAGACGAATGCCTCGCAAGACGGAAAACCCGCAAGACGAAAGGGTTTTCTGTTTTGGAGGCGCTTCGCAAGACGAATTTCCCTATGGGCTTGCATCGCAAGACGAAAGCCCATAGGGAAATGCTGGCGGTCGGGAGCAAAGACTTTTGCCCACAGCCGGCCTTCAGAAGAGGACCTCTTCTGAAGGCCGGCGGGGGGCAAAAGTCTTTGCTCCCCCCGCCTGCCTTCCCCCCGCCTGCCCCAGGCGATCTTAAAATGCTGGCGGGCGGGAGCGAAGCGTTCGCTGCCGACCCCCAGCATTTTAAAATCTTCCCGGGACACGGGGAGATTTTAAAATGCTGGGGGTCGCAGTGCTTCGCTCCCGACCCCCAGCATTTTAAAACGCTGTTCCGAAGGGGGGCGGGAACACCTGCCCCAGCCGCCCCACTTCGGAACGCTGTCTTTGTCCCCCCTGCCTGCCTTCCCAGGGGCTTTTAAATCGCCCGGACAGCGGAGAAGTCCTCCGCTGTCCGGGGCGATTTTAAAATGCCGCCCGCCAGCATTTTAAGATCGCCCCGGACAGCGGAGAAGTCCTCCGCTGTCCCAGGGTTTTTTAAAATGCTGGGGGTGGGAAGAAAAGCCCTTGTCCCCCCCCCAGCCTTCAGAAGAGGTCCGGGGACAGACTGTCCCCGGACCTGGTCTGAAGGCGGTTTCCCTAGGAACGCATTAATTGATTTTCAATGCATTCCTATGGGAAACCGTGCATCGCAAGACGAAAAAACCGCAAGACGAAGAGACTTGCAGAACGAATTAATTTCGTCTTGCGAGGCACCACTGTATCTGCCCAGACACTGAGGTCCAGCGCCAAGGGCCTTCGGCGGTTCCCTCATTGCGAGAAGCAAAGCTACAGGGAACCAGGCAGAGGGCCTTCTCGGTAGTGGCGCCCGCCCTGTGGAACCCCCTCCCACGAGATGTCAAAGCAATAAACAACTACCTGACATTCAGAAGACATCTTAAGGCAGCCCTGTTCAGGGAAGTTTTTAACGTGTGATATTTTAGTGTATTTTTCGTTTCTATGGAAGCCGCCCAGAGTGGCTGGGGAAACGCAGCCAGATGGGTGGGGTACGAATAATAAATTATTATTATTATTATTATTATTATTATTATTATTATTATTATTATTATGGTGGCCCTGGGGACCTTGACACGCAAAAATTCTGAAGAATGTTGAAGGAAGCCAAAAGTGTGTCCATAGGTTTCGATGGTAGTTTTCCATATCTCTAACCCTTAGCCTTCTCTCAGCCGCCGCCACCCTCATCTCCAAGAACTGCATTCTATCCCCACTCTTACCTGAACTAGCACATACTGACAGTTCCCTGGAAACCTGTATTTCAGTCCATCAAAGGTCAAGTAATGAGATGTGCCAATGACTGAACAAGTGCCGTCACAGACATTTTCTGTGCATTCCCACTTCCGAGCCCGACAGACACTGCAGAGGGCAAAAGACCAGCAGCTGTTATTGTCGATGTTGATTAATAAATGTCTGCTTTATCATTTGGTACATGGACAAAAGACAGTCTGTGTCTTGCAGGAAGCACGCAAAAATCATGTCACTTATAAAACCTTGAGACACTAACATTTCTAGATATCACTGCAATACCTATTCAATGCTTGTGAAGATAACAACTTTCTTCAGCCTAGACAGTCAGATTACACACTTACTTACACACAAACACACAAACACACACACACTTCAAAAATTGAGGTCCCTTCCCCTGGTTATGACACTGTTGAAACTTCGGAAGTCCACAAATTTTTATTTAGTTTGGAAACCACCCAAAGTTTGTGGGTGCCATCAAACTTACTTCTCCTCTGAGAGAATTCCAAGGCCTAAGATTTCAAGGTAACTTTTGAAATCTGGAGCCAGGCTTTTTTTAAAAAATAATAATAATGTGCTTCAGAATGATTAGACGCCTTTATAAGTCTAAGCATACCAGTACCAAAGACCAACCAGGCAAAAAACAGTGTTACCATACACAGTTAGGATTCCCTACCATTTTATAGGCTTGAAAGTTTGGTAATGTCCAGATTTTTCCAGGCTGTACCCGTGACCCTTTTGTGTCAACTGAAGTCTAGTGTCCAGATCAAGGGAAGAAAGAATACTGCTCTATTCTGCCTTAGTTAGAACCCACCTGGAGTACTGTGTCCAGTTCTGGGCACCACAATTTAAGAAGGATACTGACAAGCTGGAACATGTACAGAGGAGGGCAACCAAAACGATCAAGGGTCTGGAAACAAAGTCTTATAAGGAATGCTTGAGGATGCTCAGCCAGGGGAAGAGGAGACTGAGGGCAGATATGATACCCACCAATTTTATTGGGAGGGTTAAACATGTGCTGAAATCTTCCCCTCTTGAAAACTATGCATCTTAAACATGGATAAGTTTATCTGGATTGCATTTTAAATGCTGCTTCTGGAAAAAACCACTAACTTCCTTCTTTAAAGAAATGTACAGTCTGGCACACACTAATGTTGTGTGTGTGGAACCCACAAAGATCTATAAACAGCAAGTTAAGTTACCGCAAATAGATTCTCTCTTTACTTAAAGGCTATGTGTAAAAATTTCTGCCACTTCTGTATTCCCAGAAAAGATCTAGGCATAACACGGAGTGGAGCATTTTACAACATGTAGTGATTTACCATGGATATCCTGCTCTCTGCTGCTTATTCTCTTACAAAAACACTTTTATTGCCCTCTGAAGGCCAGTATGGGTTAAATAAGGGGTGTAATAAGGCTAGTATTTCCTTTCATTCATTCTTTTCTTTTTTGTGTGCTCATAAGACGACTAAATAGCAGTCGAGGGCGTGAGACTGCATACTTCCTATGGCTCTCTGTTTACCAAGGATGGTCCATAATTTCTGGTAACAAAACAACAACAACGAAAAAAAGAGGCAACACATTAAAGGAACATCTGCCCTGACAGGAACACTGAATTCCTGGAAAGTGCTGCGCGCAAGGTTTTACTGGAATATGTTGAACAATTCATTATTGGGACAGTTTACTACTTTACAGAAATGGAATTTGCAGCTCCTTTCTTAGGCACCGCCTCTTCTTTTTGTTTCCTTGTGATTGGGGATGCCTCATTTATCACTATTTTTATTTTGTTTATTTTAGCATCTCTTTTATCTCTGTCCTGTCTCTGGGAAGATTTCTGGAGATGCCTTTTAAAATCTGGTTATTTTACAAAAATAATGAATGTTAGAATGATGTTTGAATGAAGTTAAGTGGTTTCTAGCTGGTAATGATATAAAAAGAATATGGAAAATTGGATTTTTAAATAGGTAAAAATTTAATGTTATAATATATTAAGATCAAAGATCAGGGTAATAAGGAGGGAAAGAAATTGCTGAATTAATTAATTGAATTGGAATACAAAAAAGGGAGGTATGAGGAGGTCAAGGAAACAAGGATATGAATGTAAGATATGGAAAGGTTGATTTTTTATTTTTCTTTCTTTTTATCTGTGTACTTATTCTGTATTTTTCTTGTATTTTTATTTTTGTTTTTTATTCTTGTATTTTATTCTTGTATTTTTTGCTTTTATGTAATTCCTTTTTTTGAAACTTTAATAAATATATATTTTTAAAATCTGGTTATTTTGCTTCTCCAGTAAAATCCAAGAATCTTTTTCTTGGGTACCAGAGGTTTCCTGGATCTCAGAAGCTGGGGGGGGGGGCAGCTGGTCTCTCCTGTGTGTGTCAAAGTCACACATGTGAACACGAAAGCAGCATGCCATGCAGCACCTATCATTCTGTTGCTCGTTGTTGATTTTGACATTATTCTGATTATGTTGTGTGTTTTTAATAGTTTTGTGGGTTCCTATCTTTGTTAGCCACTTACTGGATTTTCAAATAAAAATCGGGATACTGTACATAAGTCTTAATAGATAAATGAAGTAACCACAGATGAGTTGCAAGATGATAGTCTACAGGTTGGTCTCAGCAAGATCCCAGCACTTCCTTCCTTCCTTCCTTCCTTCCTTCCTTCCTTCCTTCCTCCCTCCCTCCCTCCCTCCCTCCCTCCCTCCCTCCCTCCCTCCTTCCTTTTGTTCTCCCCCTGCCCTCTGATTCTTGGCATGGGAGGTGGGCTCCCCTTCCAAGTCGAGTTCTCTCGCTAGTTTACAGAGATGTCTTTGCTAAGAGGGATGCTCTTTTAGACTAGCATCTTATCGCGTGACCAGGCAGCGACAGCCCCAGCCCCCAGGGATCATAAGGAAGGAATAAAGACTCTGACAACGTTATGTGGAATTAAAATTAGGCCACAACTTCATTAAACTTCCGAATGTAGGAAGACCTTGGCTTAAGCCTTGGGCGTGTATCCCTCCCAGCCCCCAGCTGGGGGGAACTGGGGCTCATCAGGGTAAATGGGATATGGGGGTGTTCTGCGAGATGTAAGTGTAGCAGGCAGCCAAGACCATATCCCCACAGTTCACTGTAGTTCACTGACAGCCTTTCAGTGTATGGCCACTGACACCCATATATATAACCCCTTTAAGAGGGGGACCCTGGAATCGCCGCCATAGGGGGGTGAGTCACCACTTCACGCCGCCCCCCATATAGGGAATAAAAGACTAAAGGATTCCACCCAAGGCCATAACAGCCAAAGTTGTGACAAATTGCTACGGGGAAGACAAAACCTGCCATTGCAGGAAAATTTCTTCCCGGTCCTTCAACAGCAACCAGTCAAAGACCATAGCAGCACCCGCTAAACAGGAAGAAAAAGTTAACCTGCAAACAAGAAACATTAAACAAAGGGAGGTTAGGGAGGGTGAATCTCCAGAGCCGACTGCCTGGCTATTGTCAGCTCCACCCCCTATTTTTAAAGGGGGCCTGGCCCCACCTCCCAGCAAGAAACTTGATTACTGAGGCTGGGCGAGAATCTCCAAAAATTTGTCATACAGAGTCAGGTTTTATTTTAATGCAAAATCAGTCTCCTTCCTGAGCCAAGGGACCTCAATGAGAAGCAATTGCTTACCAGGTATTGCAATCTTTCATGACTGTTTCCCCTGGAGCATACTCTCGCCCGTTATGAAAACAGGGGCATTTTTCAGGTACGATGCATTTGTTTCCATGTCTTACCTAGAACAGAGATGGGTGTTTTATGGAACCATTACAGGGGACAGAATAAACATGGTAGCACACAACAGGAACACGAAAACAAGGCACGTAAGTAAAAATTATCAGGGCCAAATTATAGGGAGAAAATTATAAAGCCTCCAGTGAATACTGAAGACACAACTCTTTTCCCTGACCTTTGACACCAGTGAGATGTGTTTGTAGGACCCATGCTACAAACCAAGCAGAGGGCCTTCTCAGCAGTGGCACCCGCCCTATGGAACGCCCTCCCACCAGATGTCAAGAAAATAAACAACTACCGTATTTTTTGCACCATAACACTCACTTTTTTCCTCCTAGAAAGTAAGGGGAAATGTCTGTGCGTGTTATGGAGGGAATGCCTACGGGTGGCATGCCTACGTATTTTCCTCCTCTAAAAACTACGTGCGTGTTATGGTTGGGTGCGTGTTATAGAGCGAAAAATACGGTACCTGACTTTTAGAAGAGGCAGCCCTCTTTAGGGAAGTTTTTAAGGTTTGATCTTTTATTGTGTTTTTAATATCTTGTTGGAAGCTGCCCAGTGTGGCTGGGGGGCCCGACCAGATGGGCAGGGTATAAGTAATAAAATAATGATGATGATGATGATGATGATGACGACGACGTTTCTGTAATCGTATGTTGGTTCAAATGGTCTTTAAACTGTTTTTGCTATTGTGTTTTGATGTTGTAACCCATCTGAACTCCTCAGGGTGAAGGGCGAGTAATACGTTATAATAATATAAGAAGATGCTTTTAACAGTAGTAAAATATTTGAACAGTCAGTTGACTGGCATTCTCAATGGAACCCCGTGAAAACGAATACTAAAGATATCGCTTAACCCTGAGTAAGTCTGCTGCCCACATAACCTGAATGAGTTAACCGCTAAGAAAGTGCAATGTGCGCCTTCAGAATTTGGTAATAATGAGCTTTTAGGATCTTCTCTCTTTGGCATCCAGCAGAGAATGTCACACCTGGGAGTGCTGCAAAGATGCTGGCCTGTTTCTCTCTGGTCCTGGGGCCCTGATGGATTCCTGCTAACAAAAACTGTTAAGACAGATAACAACTTGCTGTGAACCCAGAAAAGCAGGCTGTTTAGGAGCTTTCAGTCATGTCAAGATTTAATAGTGGTGGTGTTTACTTTTGCTACATTTGGGATTGTTTTTTCATAAGTTCTTCTTAGACCTTACTCTTACTTTTTAAGGGAATTGCTTGATTTATTGTATATTTCTTAATGAGATGCTTTCATTATTGCATTTAAATTTTGTGCAATGTTTTTTCATGCTGCGAGCTGCTTTGTGCCTCCAAATAAATGTTGACGATTCTTCTCCACCTTCCTTTCCCTGCTTTTCCAACTTATGGGGCTTCGCCTTCTTTCTCATAAAAGGCAGAATTTGAGCAGATCTAGCCTGCCATGCAGGGGCACAAAAAGCTGCAGATGCCAAAACTCCAGTTTTCTGCGCAAACATTGAAGGCAGAGGAACTCTTTAGCTGTTTAGGCATCAACTTCTTAGTTGAGTAAGGAGCTGAGAAGAAGCGTTGAGCAACAGTGCCATCTAGTGCCCTACAAAATACCCTTCCTGCTTTATCAAACGGGAAAATGTTATACCCAGCCGATTAAAAGCAGCTTTGGCTGGGAGTATGGCAAAGACACATTCAAAATGAAGATTTATAGGATAGATGATTAAAATAAATGAGCGGTTAAATCTAGATGGCTTTCCCAACTTTGACGCAGGAGCTAAGACTTGAACTGAGTAAATAATCTGCAAGTAACCAAAGAGACAACTTCTTTTCACAGGAAAAGAACAAGTATGGAGGATGCTTTCATGTGCGAATATATACTTTCTGATATATTTTTTCCTATATCTGTAGCCTGGCATTACTGCCTTTCTACAATTGACATACAGGAAACATTTTGTTTCCTGCATTGTAACAAATGGGCTTTTTCCTTGCTGTTGTTATTATTATTAGTAGTAGTAATAGTATTTAGAAAAAGTCAATCAAAAATGAAAGTTTTCCCAAAAATGTGCAAAATAAATATTTTCCTCAGTAAAGAGGTTGTAATCATTATTACATTTGAATCCTGTCCTTTCTCCAAAGTGCTTAGTTAGGACAGTGTTGTGTTGATCGTCTCCATTTAATTCCCTCAACAAGTATGTGAAGTAGGTTAGACTGAAAAACTGTGTTGAGAAAATAATTTATTATGACTGAAAAACTAGCCTGTCCAGAGAATGTCCAGACAATGTCCAGACAATGTGTACTGAATATGCAGAGGGAGCAAAAATATGATGTCTTCCACTGTCCTTGCTCCACAAACTCTTATGCCCTCAGGTGAAAGCCTGAACAATGTGAAGGTCTTGTTTCCTCTGCTCTACATTTGTGACTGAACAAACACAAACCCCTGTGTTGCCAAATGTGACAATCTACAAAAATGCAAACGCAATGCGCTGGCTAATAACTGTTAGTAAATATATAGTCGGTATGATGTCATTCAAAACATATGAATAAGCCACTTCAAAATTATATATATATCATACAACACATCTCACAAAATATACAAGTAACTGCAAGTTGTTATATGTATCAGAGTCAAACAAAGATTGAAACAACCAGTGAATAGTGAGGAACGCCAAACCGTCTCTCAAAGGAAGCCGTCTAAAAAAGTCTCAAAGGAAGACGTCTCTCCGAAGTCTCAAAAGGAATAGGTCAACTGTTTCGGAATAAAGTCGTTAGAATTCACCACTCACTGGCTATTCATTGGTTGTTTCAATCTTTGTTTGACTCTGATACATATAACAACTTGCGGTTACTTGTATATTTTGTGAGATGTGTTGTATGATGCATATACAGTGGTACCTCGGGTTAAGAACTTAATTCTTTCTGGAGGTCTATTCTTAACCTGAAATTGTTCTTAACCTGAGGCACCACTTTAGCTAATGGGGCCTCACGGCGGCGCCGCGCCACCGGAGCACGATTTCTGTTCTCATCCTGAAGCAAAGTTCTTAACCCGAGGTACTATTTCTGGGTTAGCGGAGTCTGTAACCTGAAGCGTCTGTAACCTGAAGCGGATGTAACCCGAGGTACCACTGTATTATTTTGAAGTGGCTTATTTGTATATTTTGAATGACATCATATCGATTATATATTTACTAACAGTTAATAGCCAGTGTGTTGTGTTTGCATTTTTCTACATTTCTACATTTGTGACCACTACCAGGGCCGGCCCATCCATGAGGCAGACTTTGGCAGCTGCCTCAGGCAGCAGAATCCAAGGGGCACCTTCACAGGTGAATCTCCAATCACCACCACTGTTGCCACCAACCCAGAAGTGAAATCCAGGAGTGTGGTGCTGGTAACATCAAGGTTGCAGGTTCGATTCCCCAGATGGGACAGCTGTAGATTCCTGCCTTGCAGGGGGTTGGACTAGATGACCCTCAGGGTCCCTTCCGACTCTACGATTGTATGATTCTTACCCATCCAGTGGGACAGAGGCAGCCGGATGTACATCCTTGGCTGAAACAGCCCAATTCATAGGTTTGGCACGTCTTCATGCATTCAATTCCTTTAGCTCTTGGGTCATTTGCAGGACATACAAACATGGTCATTGGGTGCCTGCAGGCCAAACTTCGTTTTGCTTTAAGAAATAACATTAGAACACGAGAGTTAGCATTCATTCCCAACAGCAAATCATTACAATGTTCCAAAGGAGGTCAAACTTCATTGCTAATTCTCCGTACCCTATTGTATCCCTGTCCAGAAAGTTATAATAATGAAGCGTTAAGCAGAGGAACGGATGGAATAATAAAGAAATTATATATATATATACACAACAACAGCAGCGAGAATGTTGGTGGCTAGTTACTGGAAAGGAAATAACATCCCAACAAAAAGGGAATGGTTAAGTAAACTATGTGAGTATCTGGAGTTAGCAAAACTGACGGATATAATAAGGCATAAATCTAAAACTATGGTACAGAAACAATGGGAATGCTTAAATGAATATTTACACAAACAGGGATCTGTATTCTTGTGAAGAATACAGAGAATAGAAAGATTAGAAAGAGGAAGTGACTGAAGAACGGATATAATGGTGAATTAGATAACCAAGAGACGTGTGGTGAATGGGGTGGAAGTCTTTTATAATATTTTAACTAGGATTTATATATTGTAATGTTTGAAGTATGAATTTGGAATTATTGATTATGAAAAGTATTTTTCTCTTCATTCTTTTTCTTGTTCCTTTCTTTTATCTTTTGTCTTTCTTCTTTTCTAGTCTGCATTCTGGAAAATTGTGTAGATAAATGTTGTTATGTATGGTTATGTATTGTTTCTATTTCTTTTTTCTTTTCTTTTTTTTTGTAACATCTAATAAAATTTAATAAAAATTTAAAAAGAAAGAAAAGAAATGTTAATTATTCGAACTCATTTTGCTAAAAGAAAAGAAAGAATACTAACCTCTGGCAGAAGGACGATGTTGAAAGAAAACGTCTGGCAGGAAAGCCCCTGGAAGTCTGTTTGAGCTACAATGCATGAAGCCGTTTTCACAATAGCTAGAAGAAAGAGAGAAGCAGTGGCTCCCTTGCAATAAACTGAGGGACGGCTTACATACTATGCTTTGCCGCAGCAGCCAGTAGCCACATGGCTACTTGACTGGTGTCAACTGCAATCTCCAGAGGCAAAAAACAAAAAAAAGTGGTTGTAGGGCCATGTTCTGTTTCTCTTCAAGCAGCAAAATACAGTGGTACCTTGGTTCTCAAACGTAATCCATTCCGGAAGTCTGTTCCAAAACCAAAGCATTCCAAAAGCAAGGTACATGTTCCCATAGAAAGTAATGCAAAACGGATTAATCTGTCCCAAACTTTTAAAAAGACAACCCCTAAAACAGCAATTTAACATGAATTTTACTATCTAACGAGACCACTGACCCATAAAATGAAAGCAATAATCAAGGTAAAGGTAAAGGGAACCCTGACTATTAGGTCCAGTCATGGCCGACTTTGGGGTTGTGGCGCTCATCTCGCTTTATTGGCCAAGGGAGCCGGCGTACAGCTTCCGGGTCATGTGGCCAGCAGGACTAAGCCGCTTCTGGCAAAACCAGAGCAGCGCACGGAAACGCCATTTACCTTCCCGCCGGAGCAGTACCTATTTATTTACTTCCACTTTGACGTGCTTTCGAACTGCTATTGTACTATAAAATAAATACAACAGTATTGTAGATGATAAAAAATATATATATTCTTACCTGCACTGATGTTTGGATGGGGGGCTTTTATCCATTTCCACAGTCACACAACCAATCAATTGATCAATCAATCAATCAGTAGCTCAACTGTGATCCACACAGTCACAAAAACAAATTAACTGAAAAAGCCTCAAAACAAAAAACGCAAAATAAATAGCAAAAACAAAAGCATCAAATATAAGCTCCAAATATCACCTCAGAACACTGCAATCAGAAACAGAAGGCTTGAATTACAGCGAGGGTACGCAAAGTAGCAGCGCAACAGGAAACACAGGGGGATGCAAGACGGAGCATGTTTGGCTTCCGAAAAAAGTTCAAAAACTGGAACACCTACTTCCGGTTTTGCAGCGTTTGAAGAAGAAGAAGCGTTTGGATTTGATATTCCGCTTTATCACTACCCGAAGGAGTCTCAAAGCGGCTAACAATCTCCTTTCCCTTCCTCCCCACAACAAACACTCTGTGAGGTGAGTGGGGCTGAGAGACTTCAGAGAAGTGTGACTGGCCCAAGGTCACCCAGCAGCTGCATGTGGAGGAGCGGAGACGCGAACCCGGTTCCCCAGATTACAAGACTACCGCTCTTAACCACTACACCACACAGGGTCCCAAGTTGTCCGTGAACGAAGCTGTTTGAAAACCAAGGTACCACTGTATCCCGGCCTGGCCCTGCTTACTGTTCTCCTCACCTTCCAGACCTAGATTTAGACACAGCCACGCACATGCAAGGAGACCCGAGCCATGCACTCACCACATGGTGTGATGATCGGAGAAGACGTCGTCTGGCTGGAAGATCTCGCCATCGTAGTAACAAGAACACTGGGACTTTTGCACACAGTCTCCCTGCTGGTCAAGGAATAATCCAGCAGGGCAGTAGCAACCTTCCATGCAAAACTCATTGCAGTTTGTATCTGGATAGGACAAGGATCGGCAAGTCTGATTGCATGGACTTCCACACTGCTGGTAAATCTGACCTTCTGGACAACTCAAAGCTGTAGAACAGAGTAAAAGAAAGAAGAAATGTATAGTAGATTTTTTAATTATTATTTTAAAAGGTAAAGGGACCCCTGACCATTAGGTCCAGTCGTGGCCGACTCTGGGGTTGCAGCGCTCATCTCGCTTTATTGGCCGAGGGAGCCGGCGTACAGCTTCCGCGTCATGTGGCCAGCATGACTAAGCCGCTTCTGGCGAATCAGAGCAGTGCACGGAAATGCCATTTACCTTCCCGCCGGAGCGGTACCTATTTATCTACTTGCACTTTGTGCTTTAAAACTGCTAGGTTGGCAGGAGCAGGGACCGAACAATGGGAGCTCAGCCCATCACGGGTATTCGAACCGCCGACCTTCTGATCGGCAAGCCCTAGGCTCTGTAGTTTAACCCACTGCACCACCTGCGTCCCTATTATTATTTTACAGTTCCTGATATAACAGGAATGCTATTTGGGAAGGCGAGAGAGAAGAATTGGCCATCTTTTGTCAGAGTTGTCCCTCATCACTAGACATGCCAGAGGTAAGATCCTGTAGGTGCCTCTGACCTATTCTCAAGCACACTGCAGAACACACATCCCAGTGGGGACAGGATGAAGAAACAATTTCCAAATGTCAAACTTTGGAGGTTTTTAATGCTGGGGAAATCACTGCAAAAAGGTGCTGTCTTAAGGAAAGACATTCCAAATCATTATCACTTCTGAGCTCAAAAGCCACTGCAGCATAGATCCTCTCCACACAATATTTTGGGGGAATCCATACTATTTTGTTATTGTTTTTAATTTATTTACACTCCGGTTTATCCCCCCTGGTGGGACTCAAGGCAGTTTATAATCACAAAAATAGGGGGAAATAACATTAATAGAATTGAAACTCTCTTTGTGGAACGCAAGGTGGCATACAGATTTGAGTCAGGCCTGTTTAGCTGCAGCAAAATGGTAGCCTCAATCTTCAGACCATACTCTAGGGCCACCAGGTCAGATTAACTGGCCCTGGGTGACAACGGCACATTTACTTACATTTACCTACATAACTGAAGATTGAAGATGCTAAACGCAAGACCTCAGGTATGAACCCTGTACCCTACCAGCTGGATTCCCCTCCCCCCCCCAGCCAAATTCTTGCAGTCCTAGCAAAAGCAGAGATTAGTCAATCCTTGCTGGGTCAGCATTCATGTCTGAATGTTCCATTTGGTGGGATTGGGGTTATTCAAGTGCAGTTCACTGTGTGAAAATAAGTACACAAATCATAGATTGAGGATGAATCCTGACAAGAGAGAAGTACTGTTTTGGGGGGACAGGAGGCAGGCAGGTATGGAGGACTCCCTGGTCCTGAATGGGGTAACTGTGCCTCTGAAGGACCAGGTGCGCAGCCTGGGAGTCATTTTGGACTCACAGCTGTCCATGGAGGCACAGGTCAATTCTGTGTCCAGGGCAGCTGTTTACCAGCTCCACCTGGTACGCAGGCTGAGACCCTACCTGCCCGCGGACTGTCTTGCCAGAGTGAGTTTTCTCTCGCTTGGACTACTGCAATGCGCTCTATGTGGGGCTACCTTTGAAGGTGACTCGGAAACTGCAATTAATCCAGAATGCGGCAGCTAGACTGGTGACTGGGAGTGACCGCCGGGACCACATAACACTGGTCCTGAGAGATCTGCATTGGCTCCCAGTACGTTTCCGAGCACAATTCAAAGTGTTGGTGCTGACCTTTAAAGCCCTAAAAGACCTCGGTCCTGCATACCTGAAGGAGCGTCTCCACCTCCATCGTTCTGCCCGGACACTGAGGTCCAGCGCCAAGGGCCTTCTGGCAGTTCTCTCAATGCAAGAAGCCAAGTTACAGGGAACCAGGCAGAGGGCCTTCTCGGTAGTGGAACCAGCACTGTGGAACGCCCTCCCACCAGATGTCAAAAAGAAAAATAACTACCAAACTTTTAGAAGACATCTAAAGGCAGCCCTATTTAGGGAAGCTTTTAATGTTTAATAGGTTATTGTATTTTAGTGTATTGTTGGAAGCCTCTCAGAGTGGCTGGGGAAACCCAGCCAGATGGGCGGGGTATAAATAATAAATCATTATTATTATTATTATTATTATTATTATTATTATTATTATTATAGCTAGAAAGTTATTGTGCGTACAAAATGACCACAGAAAAATGCAGCCCGGCAAAACACCAATTCTTCTTTTTATGCACCCAACATTATATGGCACCAAGGCTGGATCTAGACACATCAGAGAAGCATTTCAGTTAGAAGAAGAAGAAGAAGAGTTTGGATTTGATATCCCGCCTTTCACTCCCTTTAAGGAGTCTCAAAGCGGCTAACATTCTCCTTTCCCTTCCTCCCCCACAACAAACACTCTGTGAGGTGAGAGGGGCTGAGAGACTTCAGAGAAGTGTGACTGGCCCAAGGTCACCCAGCAGCTGCAAGTGGAGGAGCGGAGACGCGAACCCGGTTCCCCAGATTAGCAGACTACCGCTCTTAACCACTACACCACACTGGCTTAAAAGAGTTGCAAACTTTGTATGAGAAATTGGCTTAGCAAAATGGATCTGCATGGCGCCATCTGGTGTCACAGTGTTAGAATGCATAAACAACGCATATAAAGTGCTTTTTCTTTGCCAGAGTAGCCATTATTCTCTTTCCATAACCTAGCCAGAAGGCCAAAATAGGTATTACTTTAATTTCATGACAAACAGCCAGCCACAAATATTAATAATACATTATTTATTTTATAAATAAACAAAATAACAGTATGTGCGAGGTTTTAATTGTGACAGCAAGGAGGGAAGGCTTGTTCCCTGCTGCCAAAGCCATGATCCTGACTAAAATATCACACAAATCCACATTTGGTATCATTTAAAAAAGCAAACAGATGTTGCTGCTGGCCACAAAATCAAAGTAACGTCTATTATTTTTATCTATTTTATTTGTACGCTGTTCTTCATTTGAAGATCACAGGCTGGTTCACAACTTAAAAATACAAAATGGGGACACAAAATTAGAATAGGGGAAATATAATTCAATACCGAAGGAACGTGATATTCCCCACTTCCTGATTCCTGAACCACCAGCGCCACACCTTTAATGCCACCCTTGGCATGCTGCCCACAATTGCACAAAGGTTTGTGCTTCTCTTGTCTGACAGGTTTCTGCAGGGCTTTGTAGTACTTCAATCCCCACAAAATTTATTTGCTCACAGTCCACAGCGGACAGAACAATATTGGCACAAGCTCAGCTCCACCGCCTCACCTCTGAGCTTCTAGAAAACAAAACAATCATTCATACATCGCCTAGAATCCCAAGGACCAAAACTAGTTCTTTCAAGTCATTTTAACCGGCCGTGGAAGCACAAGATTCTTATTTCACTAACAGCCTGTGCGCAGGTCCCAATCCAGATCGCACCGTGGGTGGGATGCCAGCAGGGGGCTCCAGCCCAATTTAATCCCCCACTGTAATCCTGATCTGGATGAGGGGGGGTCCTGCCTCCTATTTGCATAAGAAGCAAACTCCTCTTTGCCCCTGTTAAGTTGTGGGTGAACATATCAGACGACACAGCGATTCTTCAAACAGCTCTTGTTTATTCAGAGGCCAGAACAGAACTGACTGAAGGGCTCAGTCAGCCTGCTTATATAGAGCTCCAGTACAATGTTACTGTAGCAACTTTCTAAAACTATCCAATCACTGAACGTCACTTTCGATCCTTCATTTGCATACAAACTACCCAATCACTGAACGTCACTTTCGAGCCTTCATTTGCATAAAAACTATCCAATCACTGAACGTCACTGTGATGGCCTGGGAATCCGATTCAGAGGGTGAACCGGAGGAATCCCAGCCTGCACAGGAGTCCCCGCCTCCAGGGCCGGCTGAACTGGGGCAGGGCCTTGATTCTGAGGTGCCTGCACCTGTGCCGGATCCTCAGGAGCAGGCACCAGGTGAATCCATTCTGGCTCCAGAGGTGGTTGAGGACTCAATGCCTACAGGTGAGTCTCCCCCTGGGCCCAGTAACCCTTCAGCCTCTCCTGATCTGCAGAGGCTCAGGGCAGAGAGGCGAAGGGAACTGTTTTCTCCCAGGAGGAGTGCTCGCCTTAAGGCACAAGCCCCCAGGAGGAGTGCTCCCCTCGCACAAGCCCCCAAGCCCTGTGGCAGGTTCCCAATCTGGACCAGGCACCCTGCGCTGGCTATTTGTGAAAGGAAAATACTGTGCTCGTGGGGAAACCACAGGATAAACATATTATGAAAGATGATCCTCAGTCCCTGAGCAGGAAGCTGCCCATTCCTCCAATACTCCATTAGCAGTAATTATGCAAAACTGCCAGTTGCAATCTCAATCCATCTAAATGAGCAAACGTTTTTTCATTGCACCATAAGAGGTATCTGGAGAACCAGGACACGTAATGAGGCTTTTAATGGGTCTGCAGCCACAGAAAATCAGCATTTGTGCAAGGTGTAAATGCACATAACGGACAAGAGAAAGGAAGAACGAACTGCACCACATATCAAGGATTAATTGTGGCAATTGAATGTGTTCCAATTGTATCATTTTACCATTTGCAGTCCTTTCCCATTCCTTCCCCTCGTTCCTTTTATGATCGCTGCATCATTCTAGCATAGTGCTGCTGCCAAGAAGAGGTTCATTATCGCCAACCTCTCACACAGTCTCCAGGCCTGCATAATTTCAAAGGAGGATATATTTCTTTCCTCCTCTACTGTTTCACTAACTGAGCACAAAACTATGAAGCTTTGCTGTGGCTTTGCATAGTTCTGGGCCACGTCTGATGCTGAAGGTCCTGGTTTTGCCATTTGAAGTGGGAAAGGGCGTGTCAGCCATGCGTAATTGCACACCCACCGTGCACATTAAAATATATGTTCACATGCCCACAATGCACACTAAAACACATGAAACATCATGCCGTGTTTTATATTACTAACATTTTGGCAAAGCGCACATACCGCAAAAATCTGGCTTCCTCCAGCTGATGAGAACTCCTTTGCGAGCGCAGGCCATCGCATAAGCAGAGACGGCGGTACACAGACAGTCTTTTCCGTCGGAACAAGAACAGACATCATAGCGGCAATTCTTGAGGTACGGAGAAGGACTGACTTTGCGATGGCAAGGTTCAAACAACGGGGATAACAGAACTGAGCACGAGCCTTCAGCGTACTTGGCTGAAATGAAAACAATTTCAAAATGTTAGATGAGCAGTTATCGGCTGTAGAAAGAAATAGGAACCACCATAAGCCATCAAAAACACATTGACCCAGTTAGCGTGTAACACCAGGCCAAACCTGTTTGTCAGACAAACCAAGAGCCAGGGTTTGGACAACACAGTAAGCCAAACTGTGGCTTAGCCGATAGCATATACCTAAAGGAGCTTCTCCATTCCCATCGTTCAGCCCGGAAACTGAGTTCCAGCTCCGAGGGCCTTCTGGCGATTCCCTCACTGCGAGAAGTGAGGTTACAGGGAACCAGGCAGAGGGCCTTCTCGGTAGTGGCGCCCTCCCATCAGATGTCAAGGAAATAAACAACTATCTGACTTTTAGAAGACATCTGAAAGCAGCCCTGTTTAGGGAAGTTTTTCATGTTTGATGTTTTATTGTGCTTTTAATATTCTGTTGGGAGCTGCCCAGAGTGGCTCAGGAAACCTAGGCAGATGGGCGGGGTATAAATAAATTATTATTATTATTATTATTATTATTATTATTATTATTATTATTATTATTATTATTATAGCATCCAGACCAGAAGAAGAAAAACACACAAACGGTGGATCAAGGCAAAAGGGGCACGTGCCCAGGTGGCAGCGGTGGTCTGCCTTTTCTCCCTTTTTTTGTCAAGCTCTGAGCATGACAGTTCAGAGATAAAATGCTGGTTCTCTCTTTTTTCCACTTCAGGGAGCCCTTTCCTTGTGGACTTGTCTGCAGTGGAAGACGCTATGCTGAAAGAAGAGAAACACGCTGCTATCTTTCACCACAAGCCAACCCTGGCTTCATTGCAAGGGCTGGTACCTAAGCGCGGGTTGAGACTGCAGGTGTTGCTATCTTGCTTCTGCAAATCTTGACAATCTTCTTTGAGCTTCCAGGAATTCCCAAAGTCTTCCACAAGAGTTTCCACCAGGCCAGAAGGTGTCAGGAAATCATCTCCTTGGTTGCCATTGTAGTTGCCACACAGACCACAAGTTCGTTCCGTGAATTCTGAGGGTAACTGAAGAAGCATAGGAGTTAAATTCAGTATTTACACATTTCATTTTTTTGGTCTCCAGTCAGCTGCTTATAGGACTTCTGTTGAATGAACCTTATACAAATTGTGCTAAATATAAAAGTGCTGTATATAAAACAAATTAAAAGGCACTGGGAATGATCCCCTTACCCAAGTAAATTTTACTTAAGGAAATTTAAGTGTATATAAGTACACATTGGATTAACATAATAGTTTCTGTCCTCATACAGAGGAGAGATCTGTGATCTTCAGGATCACAACTGACAAAATGGTGGCACAGATTGATTGTTTTGCCCATATAAGCATTTTGCCTGTTCCCCAACAGTATGAGGAATCTTGGATAAGGAAAGAGCCAGATGATTATCAATATTTATCTCCTGTTTTATAGCAATATCACTCTTCCAATAAACATATTTAATATGGCAGTTTATACCTAAAACACATTATATCTGGGATCCAGGGGAGCATAATAGCTATGGATCTGAGCAGGAAAATTCCCAGTTCAAATAGTTTATCTTCAACGTGCCTGAAGAATTTGCTATAGCAGGGCCTCACAGGATGCCCACACTCTGTTCCCATCGACAGAAGGCAATAGTCCTCTCATCGCACAGAATGTGCAAAAGGCACAGAAGTGTGTGTGCTCTAGCGCATACTTTGGCACCAACATGCGTTGCAAAAAATTTCCAAACAATACGCCCCCTAGGCTGCAATGCTTTACACACTTACTCAGAAGTAAGCTCCAATGAATTCAGTATGCCTTCCTTCTGAACTGACATGCATAACATTGCATTGTCAGAGTGCAATTCAGCCAAAGTTTAACACTTTCAAATCCTACTGATTTCAAGGGGAGATTTAAAAATGTGCCAAAATCCATGGGACTTAAATATTTAAAATAGTTTATGTTGCATGCCAGCTGTCTGTCTGAAATATTTTGGGGACATAATGATGTAATCCAGCCAAACCAAAGAAAACTGAAATTTTCCTAAAATCAATATAACCTTTAAAAAGTTTTCAGCTTTAGAATCTATTTTTCTAATTTTCCAGTTAAGTCCTAAGTAGGAAATGGATGTTGTTCCTCAGGACTAAAGCAGGAAAACCCAGAGTTCATTATATTTCTCAGAAGTGTCTGCCCAGGTCACTGGGAGTGAAAGTAAATCACTTCCCCCAGTTGTCTAAAACATTTGGCAACGACACACAAACATTTGTGCGTTTGTGTGCGTGAAATTATTCTTGATTGCTCCAAAAGCAACAATGTTGACCTTTATGGAGCAGATGAAAAGGAACATGACAATTTAAAAAGGCACTGGAAATGTTATTTAGCTTTTATCACTATCGCGACTACATTCAAAGTTGAGAAGACACAGCTGGCGTAGTCTGAGGCCTGAGTAAGTTTAGCCAGAAAAGCAGGAAAAGGTCAATCATGGCTTTGCTCTTACATGATCTAATTTTATATATTAATCAAAATCTTCATGTGTCTTAAATCTCAGAGAAAGACGATGTCCTCAGGCTGCCTTAAGAGTCAAAACTGTGTTATCCTGAGTATTAAGTGATCCTTGTTTAAGAAGACAGGAAATAGTTTGGATTAGACCAAGATTAGACCATGGGATGTGATCCATGAGAGGCAAGTCAAGTACAACATACCTTGAAATGTTAGAGAAGACATGCAAGGGAATGTTTGGTCCAGCCAGTCGAAATTTCCTGTTCCTCCTGGCTGGAGCATCCTTCCTTTTGCATGTGATAGAAGGTGGGCGTGACCTAACCTGTCCAGGTAACAGAAGGACGAGTCACACAGCACACCCTCCTCTCTTTTTGACTTCCTTCTTCGTTTGACCAGCTTCTAGCTAGGACTGCTCTACTAGCTCTCAGCTAGCAGAAGCACTGGGATTATTCCCCCATATGGGGTAGATCCACATGTACATATTTGTAACTAAGTCTGTCTTCAGGAATCCAACTGTGAACTGATGTGAGTAAACTTCTTAGATTGACTTTGAATAAGATTGTGGCGTCTTTATTCTTTTAAGAGGAATTCAAGGGAATTTACCAGGAATGTACAATTCAGTCTGAGACAGACTGCATTGTATAATAGTGAGAGGCTCACACGAGCCTGCAACCAGCTATCTGCTGTGCATGTAAAAGGGGAATGCAACTCTGCTAAGTAAAGGAACTTGCGAGCGCAAGTTAGGAAGAATAGTAATAAACAATATATCCTCTCCTGGCACTCTGAACATTCCCACAAAGAGGCAATCTGCAATCTGTCTGGAGGGTGGCTGCAGCCCCTCGCAAGCTGCCCTCCATTCCCAGGGTAGCAAGGAGTCACATCCCAGCAGCTGGCTGTTATAAATTCGCCAGCTGGCCACATTGCAGGGCAGGTTAGCATGTCGAGTCCAAAGTTTAAATAGCCCAATCATGGGTAGCAAGTGGTGTGGAGCCTGGTCAGTGGACCCGAGAGCGGAAATTCTTGCTGGTCTGCCAACTGGGGTTAAAAGTCAGCTGCACCTATTGTTTGCAACGCAATCTCTTCTACTCACATGTAGAGTATATCTAGAATTTCTAGCACATGACAACCATATTTTCTTAGGGGGGGGATCAATTTAAATACAGATATATATTTGTGTGTGTGCGTTTGTGTGTGAATCATACCTTCATCGAAAGAGTTCCGTGCCCATCCCAGTCAATCTGTATATTCTCTTTATAGCTCAGACGAACTGCAGACATTACGGTGTGCTGGATACGAAGAGCACCTGGGAAAAACAACCGCTAATTACTGATACATAGAGATGAGCAACAGAAAATGTGAATGTAATACAGGAAATCTAGACAGATCTAAATTGTCTGCTGAAGGTGTAGAGCCAAGCGACGCCTTATGAGGCTCACATAGCAAGTAGCTATGAAGGGGTAGGAGTATGGGTTTGCATCCCCCCCCTTGTTTTTAATTATTTTGTGTTTTTATCTTGCATTTCTGTGTTGTGAACCACCCTGAGATCTATAGATGAAGGGGGGTATACAAATTCAACTAATTAATTAATTAATTAATTAATTAATTAATAAAAGCTGTGCTCTTCTGGAATGGAGCACTGAAAAGTTCCCTCCACAGGCAGGGAGGGCTACGATACTATGATCCAGATAAGGAGGAGACTGAGAGGAGATATGAGAGCCATCTTCAAATACCTAAAGGGCTGTCACATAGAAGAAGCTGTCACAAGAGGCCAAACGGCCTTGGTCCAGTATATCTGAAGGAGCGTCTCCACCCCCATCGTTCTACCCGGACACTGAGGTCCAGCACCAAGGGTCTTCTAGCGGTTCCCTCACTGTGAGAAGCCAAGTTACAGGGAACCAGGCAGAGGGCCTACTCGGTAGTGGCGCCCTCCCACCAGATGTCAAAGAGAACAACAACTACCAGACCTTCAGAAGACATCTGAAGGCAGCCCTCTTTATTGTATTACAGTATTTTAATGTTTTTTTGGAAGCCGCCCAGAGTGACTGGGGAAGCCCAGCCAGATGAGCGGGGTATAAATAATGAATTATTATTATTATTATTATTATTATTATTATTATTATTATTATTATTATTCTGCTCTGGACAGTAGGACTCGAACCAGTAGCTTCAAGTTACCAGAAGGGAGATTTTGACTCAACATCAGGAGGAACTTTCTGACAGTAAGAACAATTTGACAGTGGAATGGAATCCCACAAGAGGTGGTCGACTCTCTGCTTCCTTGGAGGTTTTTAAGCAGAGGTTAGGTAGCCAACTGTCATGGATGCTTTAGTTGAGATTCTTGCATTGCAGGGGGTTGGACCCCTGGGGTACCTTCCAACTCTGCAGTTCTGGGATACTATAATCTGTTCATGAAGAGAGAATTGTGCACATTTTCTGATCTATCTACATAATCTACAAACCCCAGGGAATGTGCAAATCGGGTTTTCTGAAGATTGCTGTTTGCTCTGATTGAGTGTTAAAGAGCAGGTTTTCCTGGGGGAAAGTGCAAGGGCAAAAAAATAAAAAAGGGAAAGTGCTTCAACGCGGACAGCACTTTGGAGTGCCTAGAAACACAGTACAAAAGTGGGTGAGCCACCTTCCCCACCAAGAACTGAATTCTCTTGCACATGATCTCTCAGGAGTGAGAGGGGGCAGAAGGACTTCACATCCATTCTTTCCCCTGCTTTCCCCTAAGCTTAATAGCAGTATGGAGGACAATTGTTACATGGATAATAGGAGGGGCAAGGGCAGAGCTGGATTGAGGTTTGATGAAGCCCTGAGCTCCCGTTGCTCAGTCCCTGCTCCTGCCAACCTAGCAGTTCAAAAGCACGTCAAAGTACAAGTAGATAAATAGGTACCGCTCTGGCCAGAAGGTAAACGGCCTTTCCATGCGCTGCTCTGGTTCGCCAGAAGCGGCTTAGTCATGCTGGCCACATGACCCGGAAGCTGTATGCCAGCTCCCTCGGCCAATAAAGCGAGATGAGTGCCGCAACCCCAGAGTTGTCCGTGACTGGACCTAACGATCAGGGGTCCCTTTACCTTTACCTTTACCTTTAAGCTACTGAAGTTAATGGGGCCCTTTATATGTCCCACTCTCCTTTGTCAACAACAAATTGTCCCTTTTTTTGTGTTGAATATATGTTGTATGGTAATTTATGAACCTAGCAGGTATCTAAAGCCATTTGCACATCACAAAATATGTATTTTATCAAAGTAATTGTTGAACTGAAATACAATTAAGAAGTAAATTAATAGTGAAATACATTTAAGAAGAAGTATATTAATAGTGAAATAATTATTAAGCTCTAACTGTATATATTATATTTGGGGTTTTTTATCTTATATTTTGGAAATGTACATCCAGGATTATTTTTTTCCCTTAAATTTTTTGGGGGGCCCAAGTGGGGTGCTAAGCTGTAGCTTGTTCAGCTTATACGTAAATCCATATAGGGAGGTTCAAAACCCTGCTCTCCTTATGATTCTTCGTCACCCACCCTGTGATGCTCTGTTAAGTAATGAGTAGCCGAGTGGGGAAAAGAAGACTGGGCTGCAGAGAGGACTTAATTTTTATATTGAGCCTCATCATTATTCCCACTGCTTGGCCAGAGTCGATAGGAGGGTGTGTTGTGTACCTCCTAATGTTAAATAGTGGGCCAGAAGCTGCCTGGGGTGGGGAGGGGGAGATATGAGCCCCCTCCCTTGGCCCAGTCTGAGATACATAGCTGTCAAGCATCCCTTATTTGGCGGGACAGTCCCTTATCCCAGCGCCATGTCCCGCTGCTGTCCCTTATTGATGATGTCCCTTAAATAAGCTACTGAAGGTGATGGGGCCCTTTTTATGTCCAGCTGTCCTTTGTCAACAACAAATTGTTGCTGTTTTTTGTGTTGAATATATGCTGTATGGTAATTTATGGACCTAATAGGTATCTTAAGCCATTTGCACTCATGTATTTTATCAAAGTGGGACGCAGGTGGCGCTGTGGGTAAAAGCCTCAGCGCCTAGGGCTTGCCGATCGAAAGGTCGGTGGTTCGAATCCCCACAGCGGGGTGTGCTCCCGTCGTTCGGTCCCAGCGCCTGCCAACCTAGCAGTTCGAAAGCACCCCCGGGTGCAAGTAGATAAATAGGGACCGCTTACAAGCGGGAAGGTAAACGGCGTTTCCGTGTGCGGCTCTGGCTCACCAGATGCAGCTTCGTCACGCTGGCCACGTGACCCGGAAGTGTCTCCGGACAGCGCTGGCCCCCGGCCTCTTGAGTGAGATGGGCGCACAACCCTAGAGTCTGGCAAGACTGGCCCGTACGGGCAGGGGTACCTTTACCTTTACCTTTACCTATTTTATAAAAGTAATTGTTGATCCCTTATTTTGGCTGCTGATCCCTTATTTTTGAGGCTGCTGGTCCCTTATTTTCAAATCTGTAAGTTGACAGCTATGCTGAGATACTCTTAGTCACATGACACAGAACACACCTTGCGTGAAAGGGATTTGTACATCCTGCCCGTTCAAAGAAACGACCCCACCGTGTTTCAGTTTAATAATGCTGTTCTCCTCCAGAAGCTGGACAGAGGCTGATCGGGTACATACCGCATCAGGGTCATCAGCACACTAAAAAGAAATCCAAGTGTTAAATTAGCATTGCAATTTTGATTTAGCTGCGTCCTCAGTCCATCAGTTGCCGTGAGACCAGGAAAGGAATACTTGAACCAATGTTAAAATTACTATCTGTACACAGCCAGTATCGTTGTTACGAACTCTTGCTGTGTGCACCTATGTTTTGTAAGTTCTGCTTCGTTTATTTGACAGTCGCTTCCTACAACTAGCAGAAAGTTTGAAAGCAATTTACAGAAGAGAAAATAAAAGACGAAAGATCAATAGAATCAATAATGATAAAAACAGGGCATTACTAATTTGTTGTAGAGTTATTCCCCCATAATGTCTAAAAACTTAAAATATTTTTTTAAAAAAAATTGTGACCAAATAACAGCACAGTGGTCAGCAGCAATAATAATAAGTGCCTTTTTGCATGAGGGAGAGTGGGCATGTCTGGTTCAGCAGCTGTTCCTTCTCCCAAGGAAATTGAAATTTTGGTTTAGGACAGATAATTTATCAGCACCAAGCTGAGGGTGGAGAACCATAACAGCTATAGTAATATAAAAGCAATATAAATTTACTGTGTTGGTATGCTCCATGTTTCAAAAAAGAGACACACATATTTACCTCTGATAGCACTGGCATATATCCTAAAGCAAAACACCCAGTTCATTTGCAAATGTGAAAATGGTATTGCAATTAAGTCATCCATGGGAAGTCTTTATTCTTTGCAAGCTAGCATCTTGCCTAACCTACCATGGGGTATATTGATACACAAGTGAGCTGCTGTCATTATACAAATGGTCTCAATGTAAATCTCACTCTAATTATGTCAGGACACAAGATGGCCTGATACTTTATGGAGGGGAAGAAGGAAAACTCAACTGCCATTTAAAAACACAACACAAAACAAAATAACACAACACCTCAGGCTGCCATGTTCAGCTTTGTTCTCTGCAACATGTTGTTTGCCCAAGCACTTTGTCAAATCGGTCGGTGTGTTTTTGAGTGAAAGAGGCAGCCCTTGTTTTTCCTCTCAAGGAAGATGTTCTTACCTGGACAGTCTCTATGAAAACAGAAAAGGTGTTCTCTGCACAATCTCTGGCAAACAAGTAATGACAGATGCCGCTGAAGGTGAAATACTTGTTGTCAAAGCTCTTGAAATGTGATTGGCCAGTGACAGAGCATTCACCTGAAAAAAACGACAACAGAATATTGATTTTAAACAACATGACTTCAAGCTAAAGCAGAGTTCTCACAATCATATTAAAACAAGAAAGAAGCATTCCTGATTCAAATGGCTGGGCCGGATAGATGTTTGCCTCAAAGCATATTCCTCTCTGGTCGCCCTTGTAAAAATAACTGCTCAAAAGTAAGTATCACTGAGATCTGTAGGACTGAATTTTAAATATTTTTAGGCCTGGGATCTAAGAAAGCTGGTATCAAATGGGATGATAGGATAAAATAGGATGTGCCAATAGTAATCATGAGGTGAAAGACCTCTGATGTGATAAGTAGCAATGTTATTGCTGTTGTTTAGTCATGTCCGACTCTTCGTGACACTGCCTCCCGCAGTTTGGTCAAAAGCATGTTGGTAGCTTCAAGAACACTGTCCCACCATCTCGTCCTCTGTCGTCCCCTTCTCCTTGTGCCCTCCATCTTTCCCAACATCAGGGTCTTTTCCAGGGAGTCTTCTCTTCTCATGAGGTGGCCAAAGTATTGGAGCCTCAGCTTCAGGATCTGCCCTTCCAGTGAGCACTCAGGGCTGATTTCCCCCATAATGGATAGGTTTGATCTTCTTGCAGTTCATGGGACTCTTTAGAGTCTCCTCCAACACCATAATTCAAAAGCATCAATTCTTTAAGTCAAGACATCTATAGTTCTGGTTGGTTCGGGCAACTCATTTGTGTTCCATTAGGGTTCCAGATCAGATATACCAATTCACTCCTTTATTTGTGCTTTCTTTTTAGCATGGGTCCGTGGCAAGTCCTCACACTCACTTTCTAGGTCTCTGGGATAGTTTGGGGTCCTTTTTACTCTCAAGATCAAGGTGTATATGCTATGTGATTTGCTGCCCACTTTTATTGTAACCTTGCTGTCTGAAAACACACTGCCATTTTCTTCTTCTTCGCCTTTGTAGGCATTACAAACACAGGCCGTGATAAAACATCATAAAACATCAATATATAAGCATTTAAAATATATACAAATAAACAGCCATGTAAACTATATAATGACAAGGATTATATATCATTGGGATTTCTTCCTGCTAAATAGTGCCATTCACCAATCTGAGAGATACTATTGATAAAAACTCAGCCAGCCTTGCAGTTACTTCTGGGTTAATGTCAGACAGATAGAATCTGATATTTTCCTTGTGCCGTGATGTTAGACTACCCAAAAAGGGGGATTGCATGCATTTGCATAGCTGGTTGTACAGTAGAAAAGAATATGTTCTACAGTGTTCGACACATTCAAAGGACATCCACAATACCTATCATTTCTGGGTATGTTTAAATATCTGCCCTTGACAAAAGCGGAGAGGAAAACGTTCAATCGGGCTAACATAAAGGACTGGAATTATTAACTTTGAGATGTAAGTGACTCTGTTATCTGTTGTATTTAAACCATAGAACTTGGAGGAGCAAATTTTATATACAGCTGACTTGGTGTTTTGTTTTTCAATGTCCCTCAATCTGGTTTGAATATTGCAATAAATATATTGCTGGCATTTTCAGTTCTGCATAATAAACCAAACTTTCTTTGTTCCTCAGGCGTGTGAACTTTTTAATGGGGCATAAGGTTAAGGGCAGAAACGCATATTCATAACAGACATGTGTTCCAACTCCAGTTAAGGATCCTAGCAGGAATACACATGAGTGTTAGACAGGCATATGGGTTCAGACGCACACCTCATAACAAACAAACAAACTCATTAAAATATTGTAATTTAAGCATTTTGTGTGTGTGTTTTGTATCAACTTATCAAGGGTCTTCAGTGCGCCATCACAAAAGGCCTAGTTTAAAATTTGAGTTCACCAAAGGGGTAGAAATATGTATCCCTCCTTCAAAGAATCTACAACAGAGAGCAAGATACTATTTGCAATGTGAGACACTTGAGAGTTAGGACTGAAATAGATTGTGCAAATTCACTTACTGGTTATTCAATATCAACCTACCTGGGCAAGGTTCATTGCTGCAGATCCAGGTGCCATGCCTGCAAATACTGAAAAATGCAAATTTTTATTATTGTTTAGATACATGGGCAAACTGAACATAGCCTATCATTATTCATACTAAAGTGCACATGACATGGAGATTCGTGATGGGATCACCAAAGGTCTTTTTCTTTAGCAGTCAAGGAGATGAATTTGACGGGGCAATTGACACAAGGTAAGGGAAGCCATACAGACGCTTGTTCTTGTACCTGCATGCCTACTTCTCTGCGCCTAATAGCAGCTCCTGGCCATGAGAACCCTTTGTACTTTGCACTGGGCTGTCCCCTTCTCTGGAAGCCCAGATCCTAATCCTTATTGCTGATTTAAATCAATTAAATCTCACTTTTCATCCTAGCCTCAGTGCCTAGGACTTGCCGATCGAAAGGTCAGCGGTTCGAATCCCCGCGGCGGGGTGCGCTCCCGTTGCTCGGTCCCAGCGCCTGCCAACCTAGCAGTTCGAAAGCACCCCCGGGTGCAAGTAGATAAATAGGGACTGCTTATTAGCGGGAAGGTAAACGGCGTTCCGTGTGCTACGCTGGCTCGCCAGATGCAGCTTGTCACGCTGGCCACGTGACCCAGAAGTGTCTCCGGACAGCGCTGGCCCCCGGCCTCTTAAGTGAGATGGGCGCACAACCCTAGAGTCTGTCAAGACTGGCCCGTATGGGCAGGGGTACCTTTACCTTTACCTTTCATGCTATTATTCAACAAAGTTCACTTTAATCTTTTATGTAATGATCTTCAAATGAAGGGTGGTATACAAGTAATAATAATAATAATAATAATAATAATAAATAATAATAAATAAATAAATAAATAAATAAATAAATAAATAAATAATAATAATAATAGTGTCCAAGGCCTTAAGCACATGCATGAGTGTGTTGAAACTTATTCCTTGGGATCATCTATAGCTCTGGCCTAGGCACTTCTTTTACACACTGAGATACAGGAGAATCGATTCCATACCAATTCATGCTCCAGGCAAGGAGCTACACGTCTGAATGTTTCCCTATCAATGAAGTTCCTTCCACATAGAAAAATACCATGTATGGGAGACAGCTAGACTAATGTCTCCTCCCTCACTTGAAAGCTTTCTATGTGTCAGTTGAGTGGAGTTTTTCTTCTTTGGTGTTTTTGGTGCTGTGGAACTGAAATGTGCACCTAAAGCACCACAATCCAAAATAAACATTAGGACTTGATTTGGCTGCATGTATAGATTGGTCCTCAAGGTATATAACCAGCGAGTTGGCCAGAAATGTAAGTGTCTATGGGGATAATCACACAGGGTCTCATCGCCTGTGACAACATTACCATTGTGGATCCCATTGCCCTATTTACCATGAGTTGCAGTCCTGGTAGACAGAAGAGCCGGGAGAGTAGCGCTTGCCTGAATGTAGGCAGGGGCAGTCAGAGCTGTCAACACAGAGGTCTCCATCAAGCAGCTTGCCCTCTAGAGAGGCCAGCAAAACCACTGTTAGTATCCACAAAATCATTTTAACCCTAAATTCTAAGGAAGAAGATTGACACAAGTCATAAATGTTTATCAGCTGGCATCTTTCACCCTCAACAAAAGAAATTACCATGAAAATCCCTGAAACGAGAAGTAATCGACTATAGAATAACAAAAATAAAAAATAAACTAGAATTAAACAAAAACTTAACGAGATGCCAGCTACAAAACTCGTTTCACTGAACTAATCAGTTTCCTCAGAAGGAAATAAAGAAATTGTAAGATTTTAAGTGATATCAAATAAGCTCAAGAGCAGGGCTAGAAATGCTTCTTCGAGTTTACAAAAAAGGTATGAAAACCTCAATGACAAGTTTTAAACATTTAAGAGAATTGAGCAGTAGTGATAAGAAAATGAGGTTTTAAAGTATTCAAACAAACTCAGAAAACAGGGCAGAAACTCAAAAAAGTTTTAAAGAAAACCCTATTTAAGAGAACCAAGCAGTAGTAATAAGAAATAATAGTGATACAAAATTAAGGTTTGACGTTTCAGACAAACTCAAAAACAGGGCAGAGACTCAAACAAGTTTTAAACATAGCCCTACTAAGAAATTGAGGTTTTAAGTTTCAGACAGGCTCAAAGACAGGTCTGAAGTGCTCCTGACTGCTGATGTTAAAGAATGAACAACTGCAAGTCAGAAACTATTGCCAAACTATTGCAAATCACCCAGAGATCTACCAGCAGATGCCAATATACCTTCTGCTCACCCTTGACCTTAATGTGCTCCTACAATATTCTGCGATAAACTGGGGCTTCGTAGGGGTTCCTCAGCAGACAAGTCAATATGGAACAGGTCCCCTGAACACCACTGCCCTTAGCAAACAAAGTTTGCCTTAGCTGAGCTGTGAAAACAACTCTAATCAGAGGGCTAGTATATGTATATAGTATTTTCAGTGTATGTCTAGCTGAAAAGAATACATACTCTTACATCTCCAGGTTCAATTAAAAAGCCTCTCACAGTATATCGTCTTCATTTTCTTTCCCTAACAGCTGGAATGACTTAGAAATAATTCAGAAGCAACTTAAGACTTTGCAGGCAAAAGGGAAGAAGTAATGGATCATCATCCATCGCTGAACTCACATAGACCTTTATTTCTTTTTATTTAATAGTAGCTCTTTGATAAAATGCATGTAGGCCTAATCTGGGGGCAGAGAAAAAGAGAAGGAGAAGAGAGAGAAATAAATACTCCTAAACATTTGAAAACAGACACCAGTTTTCTTCTTTAAATGAAATGGGAAATGCTACTGCTCAAAGATTGGCTCTGTAAACAGATCAGTAAATAAATTACCAGGGCAGCTGCAGCCATCGACACATTTTTCTTGGCACACTTCATTGATATTCAAACTCTGGCAGGTTTTGGCACAAGGGGATGTGCACTCCTTGTACTCCAAGCCAACTGGACATCCTGGCCCTGAAAAAGTTGCAGGGATCTGAGAGACAAATCCTTTAGGAATCTACGAATACTCTACTTACTTTATTATACAGAAGGGTGGATATTTTATTTGGTCAATTCCTTTCTCGTATTTATTTGTACAAAATCCACTTCTAAGGAGGTAAAACTTACACATACAAAACAGACAACATATTACAGTGACCATACAACATTTGGCAAATAGAATCATGTGTGAATGCTGAAATTCCAAGAAACGTTTGTGAACATCTGAAAACTTAGTTCTGGAGACAGACAGGAACTGAATGTGGCTCAGGAGACATTTTGCTTTCCATGGTGTAAACATGCAGTTTGTTTGTTCTATCTCTGGCCAAATCATTTTTGAAGGAACACCAAAACCTGCAAACAGCTATTAGCTGCGGTTAACAGAGAGATGAGCAGACATACCACATGCAATGGGTGTTCTTTCATTCTGCCTTTTGCTGTCTGGAAACAATTATAAACTGTCTCCACCTTCAGAGATACAAAGGTGAATGCCTGGCTGTTATTGTTGCAAATTATGGTGATTTGCATTGGGAAATGTTCTGATGTCTTGGAGCAGAAGGGAGCTGCTGTTCAACAATATCTGCAAGGCACATTTGTGGCCACCCCTGCCCTGAAGAGTAGCCCTAATACAGTGTGTTTGTGTTACTTGTATTCAGTAAATAAAGCTACTGTATTAAAAAAATATTTGAAACTGCCAAGTTGGCCTGATATGTACTTGCAGTAGGGATCCATTCATTGTTACTAATGAATTTATGAAATGGCAAAGGGGGAAAAAAATCTGCAGAAAAATCATTGCAAAATTTGGAGCCTCTGTACACAGTTTGGAGACGAGGGTGAATATATAGGAGGAAGATCTCCCTGAAGTATAGAGGCACTAGACTAAACAGGGCTTTAAAAGTCTTCACCAGCACTCATAACTGGACCTAGAAGCTTGTGGTGTTCGTACAGAGACCCCGGTCGTTTCAGGGACTATTGACCTGTACACCACTAATTTATTCTTCTGCAGCCACCAATTTTGTGGGAAAGACCCAGGGTTCCCTGGTGAAGTATTGAGTCTTAGTCAGGTAGAGTTAACAATGAAGATTAAAGTTTATTTCAAACACAAACAAGTTTTAAAATATATTCGAAACGCTGTCACTCTATTCCCTCTCAGTCTTGTCCCTGTCTCTCACTCACTCTCACTCCTCTGTCTCTCCCCCCAAAAGAACCAACCCAACTAACTGTCAAAACCTCTGGGCTGAGCCTCAAAATCAGGTAGGCTCCGCCTCTGGGCTTTCTTATTGGTCAATCTATTAACCCTTTCTCTCCCCCAATACAAACGTATCCCCAAAGAATGGGCAAACGCCACAAAGCTAATACAGAATCAGAGCAGCTGAGGCCCAGTTTATGTACTAATCTCCCACAGCAGGATTCTGCATCAGCTGAAGCTTATGAATTGTCTTCAAGCCCTCAGTGGAGCACCTTACAGCATTTGATATGAGAGGTTTCCAATGGATGACCAAGGGCAATTTTGTTGGAGAAAAGCACCCGCAGAAGTAGCTCTCCTGTCCAAGCTTGTGAAAAGGATCAATGAAGGGAGTAGCCCTTGTCCTTTAGAGGGACAGATAAATCAGGTCCTCCTTTAAAGAGGGCACATATTGTGGTGAGACCTGGAAAATGACACCCTGTGTTGTGGGTGGGTACGACTGGTCAGCCACAACACCCGATTGGTAGGTCCCTCGTAGCTGGGTGCAATCTGGCCAATGGGACACCGTCCAAACGGTTCGAGGGACCTATTTATACCCATGCACGTGACCCAGAGCTTCCTCTTTTGGCACGTGCTTTTGGAACACCTGCCCACCTCTCCCTATATTTGGGGCTGTGCGCTTGACCTTGCTATGCCGTCGTCTGTCGTTGGGACAGGGGCACGGCAGGAATTTTTCCCACTTGGCTGATTGGCTGGTGCCATTTGGGTTTCGCAAATCATCACAACTTGTAAGGTTGCGGATAGGTTCTGTTTCAGGTGATAGGGATGGGAGAACGCTCTCGCCATCCCTATGTGAAGGGTATTCCGTTAAAGGAATCCAGGGACTCCATGGTTTGGTCAACCCCTGAGAGGGGGTTGTGCCCATGCCTGAGTCCAGAGGGCATTTGGGTGGAGGAGTTAGCCCTTTCCTGGCTTTCTGCTTATCCACATGTTCACCCTTGGCTGACCTATGCTGGTGCCCTGGGTCAGCGCTACCTGCAATGGTGCAGGGAGCTAGTCGAACCAGAAGCCATGCAACCGTTCACTTTCAGTAATCAATAAAGTTGTGGCCTAAATTCTGCCCAAAACCAAAATTTGAGCCAAGTGTGAATTTATTTGGGGGGAGGGGTTCTGGGTCTGAACACGCAAAAGCAAAAACCCTCTTGCCCAGTGGCGTAGCGTGGGTTGTCAGCACCCAGGGCAAGGCAAGTAATTTGCGCCCCCTAACCCGTGGATTTGCGCCCCCTAAGCCGTGGATTTGCGCCCCCTAACCTATGGATTTGCCCTAACCCCAGATGTTGCGCCCGGTGCGGCCGGCCCCCCTGCACCCCCCATGCTACGCCACTGCTCTTGCCCGTGGCCAGTCCACCATCATAGCCTTTGACCTATCCAGATTGTGTTTCATATTGCTAGCCCTCATCTAACCCATAATTTGGTGCAGACATTCATTCAGGGACTTGGCCACGGCCACCGGGTTTGGTGAAAAGATGAAGTCCTGTGCGTCATTAGCACAGTGGCAGTAGCACCACCTGACAGTCCCTTCCAATGGTTACATATCTCTGTTGAAAAGCATGGATAAGAAATAGCCCACAAATAGAGAGATGAAAGGCCAGAGCATGCCCTGTCTGTGCCCTTAGGCAATCGTGACAGCTTTCTGCTCGGAACTGGGAGTTCAAGCCACGTTCCTAGTGTTTCAGAACTCTCCAAATCAATCTGTACTGCTGTCCAGGGGATAGTCTAGAAACCAAGTCTTGGAAACTTACGGCATGAAGCGCTGTCAGGCCATCCTTCCAGAATCACACCTAGCCGAGCACAGTTTCTGGCATACTCTAGAAAAACGGGACAGTGGCAGTTCCTATCCTGGGCACATCTGCAGATGTCTTCTTCACAGAGGCCAATGAATTGCTCGGGATCAACCAAGTGATGACATTGGGAAAACACAGTGGATGTCCTCAGCAGCTGGCAATTTTCTATAACGCCCTGCAGGTACAGAATAAACAGAGCTATCACAAAGCTATTACAATAAACTTCATGGGATAAGGGTGGGTTCGGGAAGGGAAGGGTGTAACTGCAGGAATATGCAGGTGCTATTCTCTTCCTCCACCCCATGAATTGTCCCTGGAGAGATGTCAGGAGTAGGGCTTCATGTCTGAATACTCTCTCCTCTGTCTCATTCACCACAGAGACCTCATGGGGGGGCCTGGCCCTGGTGGCTGGTATACAAGTACAAGTAGACAAGCATAGGATTGCAATATGCATCACCCAGTTGGGTGTCAGGGCCGGATTTAGGTTTGATGAGGCCCTAAGCTACTGAAGGTAATGGGGCCCTTTATATGTCCAGCTGTCCTTGTCAATGACAAATTGTCGCTGTTTCTTGTGTGTTGAATATATGCTATATGGCAATTTATGGACCTAAGCCATTTGCACAAAACAAATAGGAGCCTACACAACACAACACAAAAGACTGTTGCTGTAGGTTTTATTTTATTTGTTTTTTATCTTATATTTTGGAAATGTAGATCCAGGTTTTTTTCCTTTAAATTTTTTTGGGGTTCCCAAGAGAGTGGGGCCCGAAGTTATAGCTTGTTTAGCTTATACGTAAATCCGGCACTGAGCAGAGGCCAAGTCCCCAGTGCAAATCTCACCTTTGCCACCAACTCATTACACAAAGTGTCTTTAGTCAAGGCACAGACTTTCCTTTCAAGTCAGGAGGCAGGCCAGCTCCTGCCCTCTCACTCTTTTAAAAAGAACTAAATGCTTCATTATGTTATTATAAATTTTATCCTATACTCCTTTTATTTATTAGGTTCTTAATCCCGTAGACATGCCTCAACGCTGCACCCATTTTATCCTCACACTAACCTTCAGAGAGATTAATCTGAGAAACAGATTTAATGTTCACTGAAGGAATTGGCAGGACTCAAGAGTCACGCAACACTTTTCCACCAACCCCTTTGAGTGGGAAGAAAGAGTACGAAACCCCATAGCTCAGTAGTGGTGGGCAGAATACAGACTGAACCATAGCTATTGTTCTCTGCCCCCGACAGCTGACCATGGCACATTGAAAGGCGCTGAGGGATGGGGAATTGTGCATTCTTGAGGCAGAGGCTAGCAAACAAAGGAAGCTGTTTTTCTTTATGTAAAAGATCAAAATTCTTCCAACAGGCCCTGGTATTGCTGAACTGCTATTAATAGAACAATGTATTGCTTTGAGAATGAATAAATTAAACTAATGTTTGAAAATGCCACAAAAGTCTCCTGAATACATAACACAGAGCCTTCGCTTCTTCAGCCTGCAGGAGAAATAATCCTCTGTCCATGCTCTCTGCTTGATAGTAGTGGATACAAGCAGAACTGCTGTGGTATCTTTCCGTAATCCATAATTCTGCCCAAATGAAGCTCAGTCTTACCATGAGGCAAGGTGAGGTGGGACACCTCAAAGAGGACATTTCTAGTGCCATTGAAGGTCAGCAAAGCAGATAGATGGGGGCACAGGACACTGGGAAGCTGGCAAGCAGTGCATCCCATATTTAAAGGAGCAGAAGGTACAGAAGTCATACTAAGGAGCCCTTAGGATTTTCTGCTTTAGGTTAAAAGGTCCAAATCTAGTCCTAGTTCTGATATATAAAGGTAAAGGTACCCCTGCCCGTACGGGTCAGTCTTGACAGACTCTGGGGTTGTGCGCCCCTCTCACTCAAGAGGCCGGGGGCCAGTGCTGTCCGCAGACACTTCCGGGTCACGTGGCCAGCGTGACGAAGCTGCATCTGGCGAGCCAGCGCAGCACACGGAAACGCCGTTTACCTTCCCGCTAGTAAGCGGTCTCTATTTATCTACTTGCACCCGGGGGTGCTTTTGAACTGCTAGGTTGGCAGGCGCTGGGACCAAACGACGGGAGCGCACCCCGCCGTGGGGATTCGAACCGCCGACCTTTCGATCGGCAAGCCCTAGGCGCTGAGGCTTTTACCCACAGCGCCACCCGCGTCCCTACAGTTCTGATATATATATATATTTTTAAAAATAGGTTAGATCCAGACTTAATCATGCTTAGAGCAGACCCACTGAAACCAATGGAACAAGTTGATCATGACTAAGCTAAGTTCCATTGATTTCAATAGGGCTATTGTAAGCATGACTACTTGCGCAATCTTCCTAACCATGCCTACTCAGACATGCCCTATTGCATTCAGTGGGGCTTACACGCAAGCAAATGGAATTAGGATTGTAGTCTAACTCTAGAGCCAACCCAACAATATCATCACAGTTAAAATGGCTGTCATTACCGCAAATGTGGCTCCTCCAAAGCTGGGGTCTCATGATGAAGGGTAGCAATAAAGAATCCTGTTCTGGAGGTCCCTTGGGGCACTGGAACGGGCTGCAAGCCCTCCATACTAGCTATTCCATGCCAAAGGGCCATTACAGCCAAAACATTGTAAGTTTTTTCTAAACCGGCAAAAGCTGCAAGTTGGGCTAGATGTGGTTAGGTAGGCAGAACTAGACTGGCTGAGGGCAGAGGAAGGAGGAATTGTCCCTGTTCTGGGAGTGAAGAGCATCGATGGCCTTGGTTAAGCATCTCCACGTAAAACCCCAAACAAGCCGAAAGCATCAGTCATCAGAAAGTTCAATGGTACGAAAACAAACAGGCTTATTTGTATGAACCAGGACCTCTGTTTTCTATCAACAAGTGGCTGGGTGTTGCAAAAGGGAACAGAAGATGGAAAGCAGATTGGCAAAAAACAAAGTTAGCACCTCAAAGGAAGTCCAGAACATAATAAACAGTCAAGAGGGAAAATGACTGGGTGAGGCAGTTTGGGTAAGAGACAACACATGACTTAGCAGCCGCTTCCAGTCATCGCTGGTCAACTGTAGCTGAATAGCGACTCTAACCTGAATAACATTTTGTAACCAGGTAGGCAACTCCCCTTCCCCAGACCCAAATGTGTGTATGGAAGGGTGTGTGTGTGATTTTTATTTAGATCATTGTTTATGGATAAAGGGTTACATATGTATTCTGACCCTTGCTACAACTCTGACCTCCCCATCTTAGAACTGAATGATCCTTGCTGCAGAACTTCCAGCAGTTGAGACCGCTTGCACTGCCCAAAAAACTGCCTCTCTCCCCACCAGAGACCCACATCAACACAGTCAAGAGGTCTAGAGCAGGGGTAGGCAACCTAAGGCCTGGAGGCCAGATGCGGCCCAAGCGCCTTCTCGATCTGGCCTGCAGACGGTCCGGGAATCAGTGTGTTTTTACATGAGTAGAATGTGTGCTTTAATTTAAAATGCATCTCTGGGTTATTTGTGGAGCATAGGAATTCGTTCATATTTATTTTTCCAAAATATAGTCTGGCCCACCACATGGTCTGAGGGACGGTGGACCAGCCCACGGCTGAACAAGGTTGCTGACCCCTGCCTCATCTCCTTAATGGCCTGGTCTTTTATTGCAGCAGAAATAAAATCTATTGAATGTTTTTGAACCACTGAGGTTTCTTGGGGTGCCTATCCCTTTTAGTAGCATGGTACAATACAATTCTACTGTCCACAATCAAATCCCTCGATCTATAAAGTCCATTCCTCTTCCAGCATCTGAGGGACGGTGGACCAGCCCCCTGCTGAAAAAGGTTGCTGACCCCTGGTCTAGAGGGCCTGTTAAAGAGGAGAAGGAATGCTAGGCTCCAAGTCAGAGGCCTCTCTCTTTTAAGCCATCCACTCCTGTTGGAAGAGGCTGGTTGATGAAGTCCTAGAAGCATAAAAGCTCCCTGCACACTCTCGGGCTTAGTCAAGTTGCTCGCTAGGAGGCTGCCCTGCTTCACAGGTTTTCAGCTGGATTGGACCACATATTCTCCAAATTGCATCTTCTTCTACCTGCCCCACCTTTGCACAGTGTAAGTGGCTGACTGGCTGCAGCATTTATTGCAACAGCCACGCAGGGTAAAGCAGAGGCATATTTGCAAGCAAAACAGTATCCACCTGACCTCACTTTGCCAACAAGGAACACCACTATTTCCTTTTCTTATTTTTTTATCACAATTAAAGACTATAAATGCATAATTTTACAGTTACTAATCGATAAAACAAACCGTGTGTACATCAAAACAAGAAAGACAATAATATACACCTGTGTGGCTTCCCTCCACCACAGCTCAACTTCTTATAAATTAGTGTATACAGTGGTACGTCAGGTTACATACGCTTCAGGTTACAGACTCCGCTAACCCAGAAATAGTACCTTGGGTTAAGAACTTTGCTTCAGGATAAGAACAGAAATCGTGCTCCGGTGGCGCGGCACCAGCGGGAGGCCCCATTAGTTAAAGTGGTGCTTCAGGTTAAGAACAGTTTCAGGTTAAGAACTGACCTCCGGAACGAATTAAGTACTTAACCTGAGGTACCACTGTATATTACATTGTGTCATTATCCTGTTCATTATCTAACCATCATTAAACTCATTTCTAATTGATTCATCTTTACATGTTTAATCTATACATATTGACGTACTGTATTTTCTTTGGACCAGTATATTCCCATATATTCTTCAAAACATTGCCATTCTTTCCTCAAATTTTGATTAGATTGATTTCTTACATCTTTTTAAGCTCTTCTTGAATAATCCCCCAGAAGCTCTTAACTTTCTCGCAGCCCCACCAGACGTGCATCATTCTCCCCTCTGCATTTTTGCATTTCCAACATAAGTTGGGTTTTAACTTATAAATCTTGCCTAGTTTTATAGGTGTCAAATGCCACCTATATAGCATTTTCATGATGTTTTCTTTGATAGTTTGGCAGGCAGTAAATCTGATGTCTGACCTCCATAATTTCTCCCACTGGTCCTATTTGTATTCTATGGCCAATGTCCTGGGCCCATATACCCATTACTTCTTTTGACTGGGTTTCATCTTTAAGATCCCATTCCAACAAAAATTTGTAGGTTTTAGATAATAGCTCTTTATTGCTTTTTAATAAAACCATTTGTAATTTGGATTCTTCCTTACCCAAAAACCCGTTTTCTTGTCCGAATTAAAAATATTGTATAGTGATGAAACTGAAGTCAGTCAGCGAGACAATGTCTTATCTCCTCAAAGGCTTTTACTTTTAAATTCCCTTCCTCTTCTTTTAACAATTGTCTATAGGCTGCCCAAGGGATGCGGGTGGCGCTGTGGGTTAAACCAAGAGCCTAGGACTTGCCAATCAGAAGGTCGGCGGTTCGAATCCCCGTGACAGGGTGAGCTCCTGTTGCTCGGTCCCTGCTCCTGCCAACCTAGCAGTTCGAAAGCACGTCAAAGTGCAAGTAGATAAATAGGTACCGCTCCGGTGGGAAAGGTAAACGGCGTTTCCGTGCGCTGCTCTGGTTCGCCAGAAGCGGCTTAGTCATGCTGGCCACATGACCCGGAAGCTGTACGCTGGCTCCCTCGGCCAATAAAGCGAGATGAGCGCCCCAGAGTCGTCCACGACTAGACCGAATGGTCAGGGGTCCCCTTTACCTTTATAGGCTGCCCAGCCACTTTCCATATTGATTTTTTTAACTGCAAAGGCAGGGACAGCCAGCATGGAGTATGGGGCTCTAATAACGGTTGATATTTCCTTTTCTTTTATCAACTGTGAAGATAGGCAATTTCCATTACAAAACCACAAAAAATGGGCACAGAGAGTTGAATCATCCCTCTTTCCCAGTACTACCCCTGCGTTCAACTTTGCAACCTTTCCGCTGCATTTCCCTTTTCAAAACAAACGCTGTACTCTGCCTTCTCTCTCAACCGCATCTCCAGCTTACAGTGTTTACAGTAAAGTACACTGGCCTCTCTCTTGCTCTCTCTGCCACAGCACTCCCCCACCCCCACACAAAAAATGCCACAAATCTTAAATATGCATTTGTCTTGGCAGGCCAGTTGTTTGCAATGTAAAAAACAAACAAACCACAAACTTATTTCCCCCCACGAAGATAGCATGACTTAGAAAAAGCATGAAAGCATCTTCCTACTATTCTTCTCTTTCTTTCTGGGTGGATGCCATTGTTTCCTATGGGCAGATCTCACTTCTGCTCCAGGAGACGAAAAGATGCTGTCAACCCCAACCTCTTTATCAGTAAATAAATGTTCTTAAAAGGAAGCAGGAAGTGGGATATTCAGGTGCTTGAATTATCAAGCGTACAGTGGTACCTCGGGTTACATATGCTTCAGGTTACATACGCTTCAGGTTACAGACTCCTCTAACCCAGAAATGGTACCTCGGGTTAAGAACTGTGCTTCAGGATGAGAACAAAAATTGTGCAGCAGCAGTGTGGCAGTAGCGGGAAGCCCCATTAGCTAAAGTGGTGCTTCAGGTTAAGAACAGTTTCAGGTTAAGAACGGACCTCCGGAACGAATTAAGTACGTAACCAGAGGTACCACTGTAACTCTCTGCTTCATCTGGCTTTTGCTTCCTGAGGCTCTGGTACCTTATTGGGATATTTGGTTGCCAATTGTGAAATGGGCTTCCCTTAGCATCTAACTGTTAATCTCTCTTCCCGACTGACCACAGCCGGATAGAAGAGAGAGCACAGAAGAGACAAGAAGCACTTACTAAAATCCCACCTCCCTCCTAACATGGCTGCTAAAGGTACAGGAGTCCTGTTGCCCCCCCTTTGCTAAATCCTGCTGTGTCACAATACCTGAAGACCTGCTAAAAACAGCAGGCAGGTGAAGAGTACAGGTGAAAAGGCCCAGGAGATAGTCACAGCTGCCTTGTCTTCTGATTCAGCCGTGATTTTTTGCAACGTAACAGTATTTGAGAGAAGCAACAGTGGCCGAAGGCAAATTTTGGGTGTGTGCCTCACTTCTTTTCTTTTGGAATGTCAAAGGAGGGAGTGTTGCACATTGTCTCTGCTAAAACAGGTTCTGCAGGGAATTTGCATGGTTTCAAAATCTGATTGACCAGAGGTGACAGTCAGACAAATGAAATGGGAAGGGGGAACTCCCTTTAAAAAATGCCATTTGGAACTTTTTAGTCCGCTATCAGTCTCCTGCCAAATGGGTAAAGAAAAGGTGCTCACAGGACTTGCCTGGGTCCTGTCAAAAATCCACACTAAAACGCTTTGTGCAAATTTTAAAACAGCATCTGAGAAACTGCTGAGGACAAGTAGAAACTGGTTGCCATCCTCTGGCATCAGGAAAAGGCCTCTGCTGTGGGGTTTTTAAATCATGAACATACAGTTCAAGATACAGATAGGTAGCCGTGTTGGTCTGCCATAGTCAAAACAAAAAAAATTACTTCCAGTAGCACCTTAAAGACCAACTAAGTTAGTTCTTGGTATGAGCTTTCGTGTGCATGCACACTTCTTCAGAAGAAGTGTATCTGAAGAAGTGTGCATGCACACGAAAGCTCATACCAAGAACTAACTTAGTTGGTCTTTAAGGTGCTACTGGAAGTAATTTTTTTTGTTTTGAATACAGTTCAAGAGAATAAGGTGCATTCTTTAATATGCTTTGAACTCCCCCATCTGAAATGCTGTTATATTGGCATAGGAAATACTGTGTGTGTGTGTGAACATGAATTACTATTTTGTACTGCAAAACTATAATATAAATTAACTAATATGTAGGATTCCCTTCTGCCCTGTTGTCAATGAATCTCTCGGGGCTGCACCAACCTTCTCTTCCATCTCAGATGAAATGTTGCAGGTATAGCTTGGGGGATTCACCCGCTGGCATCTCCTCTCTTCACTGTGCATGGCCCAGGAGTTAGCAAAAATGTAGGGGTTCTCTTCCAGAGTTCCTGCAGTTGCAAGGAGGAAAATAGGCCATTACTTGAATATGACAATTTGCTTAGAGTTCTCTGATCAAGAATGAAGCTTAAGCAAATGAATCTTCCTTCCTCAACGGCCGATTGTGCTGGATAGTTTTCTGCAGACAAGCAGTCCATTTAAAATCTTCTGCCCAAAGTGCGCAATTGTCTTCTAAACATGCTCCCACAATGTTATCCTTAGAATGATAACACATCTGAAATGTAACTGCCAAATACCTCCTTAGAAAGGTTGGAACTGTTTACTGAGGTAGCTTATTATAAAGAGAAGAGATCAGAACTCCAGAAAGCATCACATTTCATTATTAATGTAAAGGTAAAGGTAAAGGTAAAGGTAAAGGGACCCCTGACCGTTAGGTCCAGTCGCAGACGACTCTGGGGTTGCAGCGTTCATCTCGCTTTATTGGCCGAGGGAGCCGGCGTACAGCTTCCAGTTCATGTGGCCAGCATGACTAAGCCGCTTCTGGCGAACCAGAGCAGCGCACGGAAACGCCGTTTACCTTCCCACCCGAGCGGTACCTATTTATCTACTTGCACTTTGACGTGGTTTTGAGCTGCTAGGTTGGCAGGAGCAGGGACCGAGCAACGGGAGCTCACCCCATCGCAGGGATTCAAACTGCCGACCTTCTGATCGGCAAGCCCAAGGCTCAGTGGTTTAGACCACAGCACCACCCGCGTCCCTCAATTATTAATGTAATTTAATTTAAAACAACAAGTGATGAAAACTTGCCTACGTTAACTGGTTACAGGTCCTATGAATAGCACTATTTAGAGTGATTATTTGTACATATAAAAGTAAAAGCATGCCTGGCAGTTGTGGTGGACTGAAAGAAAGTGGCTTGGATGTAATCAGTTTGAGAAGCAACCGGCAGAGAGAAGATGTGGTTAGAGGAATTAATGCTCGCTTGAAGTCATGAAGAGTGGGGTTTGCTGTCCAGCGAATACCGGGTCCACGTGGGGCCATTGGAGGGAAGCCAGGGCCTCCATCTTTGGCCAGGCAAACTGGAGCCAAAATCCCATTTAAACAGGCCAATCAGAGGAGTTGGGGTGTGTGGTTGCAGCCTCTTATAAGAGCGGGCTGCACCCACCCCTCCCTCTTTCTTGAGGAGCAACTGGCAGATAGAAGGTGTGGTTAGAGCAATGGTTCCCAACCTTTCTTTGGCCATGCCCCACCTAAACATCTCTAAAATCCTGGTTCCCACCCCCCCTATGTATAATTCTTATTATTCAAAAAGTGAACTCCTATTCACATGAAGCCTAAAAAGCCATTAACTGTTAATAACTCATTCTTGAATTGCCCCCCTTAAAAATTGAATTGCCCCCCAAAACATGGCTACCTATGTGAAAACCACATCCACTGAAGCACAAAGAAACATCCACACCTAATGCACACCCTATTATTATTATTATTATTATTATTATTATTATTAAACATTGCTGTTTCGGAATTTTAATAAAAGTCAGACTTCCCTCATTAGCTGGGGGCAGGGGAGATAGGAGGAAAAGACCCTGGATAATTTCACAATGGGAAATTAACAAAATCTTAATGGAGTTCAGAGTTGAGTATTAGATGAATAAGCAAGGAAGTAAACGTTGACTGTGGGACGCGGGTGGCACTGTGGGTTAAACCACAGAGCCTAGGACTTGCCAATCCAAAGGTCGGCGGTGAATCCCGTTGCTCAGTCCCTGCTCCTGCCAACCTAGCAGTTCGAAAGCATGTCAAAGTGCAAGTAGATAAATAGGTACCGCTCCAGTGGGAAGGTAAACGGCGTTTCCGTGTGCTGCTCTGGTTCGCCAGAAGCGGCTTAGTCATACTGGCCACATGACCCGGAAGCTGTACGCCGGCTCCCTCGGTCAATAAAGCGAGATGAGCGCTGCAACCCCAGAGTCGGCCACGACTGGACCTAATGGTCAGGGGTCCCTTTACCTTTAAACGTTGGCTGCAAGAGATTGCCCTCTACCTCCAGAGAAAGCAGGCAGCTTGCCTGCCAACTGCCTCCCTTGGCGCTCCCCCTACGAAGCTTGACAGCAGCCCTGCAGCTCTACCAACAAATAGCAATATTCCGCCTCTTATTTTGGAATATTTTCGCGGACTTCCCAGTCATGCATACTCCTAAACTGAGTCAGCATTCCACTTTTTTCATGTATTTTTTCCCCAAAAGAAGGATGTTTTTCAGGTACAGGGAATCTACAGGGCTAGAACAAGGTCAGTCAGAAACAATGAAAAGAGACCTTTGGCATTTGGCTGTCAATTTAACGGCCCTTTCCCACTCCTGTAAGAACACACTCACGGTGTTTTAAAGTGCAAAACATTTTAAGATACACACACACACAGACACACCTATTCTGAATTCAGTTTTTAAACTCCACACAATAATACCCAGAGGTTGTTTGTAATGAATTCACGGGGAATTTGAATGCACTGTTTAATAGTTGATTCACACTGAACCTATTTGTCGAAAAGACTTGCTGCCATAGCCACATCTCTACCTCATTTTTCTGTGGACTCCTCTACCCTAACATGCGTTAGCCCCCTAATGTGCTTTTTGCAGGAAATAGCACTTACAGGAGGAACCAGGCTGGAAGGACAATTGTTATCAAGAAACAAGGCTGCGTGGAAAAACCCTCCCCATAGGCCAATCTCCAAATCCAGCTGCTTTTTCCTTTTTTAAAAAAAATATTTCCAGTGCTAAGCACACTTCTGTATGTAGTATAGTTGCTAAGGCTGCAATGACCAGAATCATAGAATCATAGATTTGTAGAGTTGGAAGGGACCTTGAGGATCATCTAGTCCAACTCCCTGAAATGCAGGAATCTGCAGCTGTCCTTTGTAGGGATCAAACCTGCAACCTTGGTGTTAATCAGCACTATCCTCTAACCGACTGAGCTAATATTTAGTTCTGAGCTAATTGCTCTGGTTCGCAATTGCTCCGTAGGAGTTTTCATGCTTGAAACTTAAATATACTAGAAGACATGACAAAAGAGTTGATTAAAGAGGACGTTGATCATCATGTTGGGATAAGTAGGAGCCAGAATTATTTCCAAGAATAAATCCTGCCAGGTGAATCTTATCTTCTTTTTAAATTGTTATTGGATTACTAGTTTGGGTTACTGAAATATACTCGGAGTCGAGAGTGGATTTCATGCTCTTTATTCAGCTCATAGTGGTGAGGAGGAATGGAAGTTCCCCCACAATATCTGCTTTATATACATTATTTACACAATGGACTGCATGTGATTGGCTAATTCCGGGATTCTCCTGTAGGCCAATCAGGTTGTGGATTCACTTCCACCTGGAGCTTGATTGGGTGGCTCCTGCGGACCCATCATACGGCTGCATTGTTCTAGGACCAATCAGACTGCTGCATTTTGGATCCTATTGTTCTAGGACCAATCAGACTGCTGCATTTTGGATCCTATTCAACTCAGTACATAACAGTTACTGGTGTACTAGATTGTGGGCATACGGTGAACTACATCTGACAAAGTTTGCCAGGCTATTTTGGTTAGCAAACTAAGCAATAACACCATCGGGTGGATTCAGAACTGGTAAAAAAAAACCTCTACCCTGAGTGCTCATTAATGGCCCCCTATCAAAGTAGAGATATGTTTCAAGGAAGTACTGGACTTTCCAGTTGTAGAGTCCATTTTCTGCATGAAGCAAGACCAAGGCCCATTCCTTGGCATCTCAACTTGAAAGGACCTCAGGACCTCAGGAAGCTGAGCTGAGGAAGACCCTTGGCCTGAGATCTTGGAGGGCTACTGCCAGGTCAAGTAAATAACACTGGGACCACGGACCATCTGTCACTCCACATAAAACCCTCATAAATGGAAGTGTAAACGGATTTGAATGTGAGCCAGCCAGTCCACCTACAATAATTTCACCTCAGCTAGGGAAGCTCACTTGGTAGCCTTAAGCAAGAAAACGTTCTCTCAGTCTCTGTACTCCCATCTGCAACTTGAATATTGTAATACTGATGTACCAAGCTGGATAGGAAAGACTGCTGAGAAGAACTCTGAATACTTTCTTATATTAAAAAAAAAAACTATAGAAAAGGTAAAAGGTAGTATTATCAGCTAATTTACTTTGTTGCTTCAAGGTAAAGGGACCCCTGACTGTTAGGTCCAGTCGTGGCCGACTCTGGGGTTGCGGCACTCATCTCGCTTTATTGGCCGAAGGAGCCGGCGTACAGCTTCTGGGTCATGTGGCCAGCATGACTAAGCCACTTCTGGCGAACCAGAGCAGCACATGGAAACGGCGTTTACCTTCCCACCAGAGTGGTACCTACAGTGGTACCTCGCAAGACGAATGCCTCGCAAGACGAAAAACGCGCAAGACGAAAGAGTTTTCCATTTTTTGAGTCGTTCCGCAAGACGAATTTCCCTATGGGCTTGCTTCGCAAGACGAAACGTCTTGCGAGTTCTTGCAAGTTTGTTTCCTTTTTCTTAAAGCCGCTAAGCCGTTAATAGCCGCTAAGCCGCTAATAGCCACTAAGCCACTAAGCCGCTAATAGCCGTGCTTCGCAAGACAAAAAAACCGCAAGATGAAGAGACTCGCGGAATTGCGAGGCACTACTGTATTTATCTACTTGCACTTTGACATGCTTTTGAACTGCTAGGTTGGCAGGAGCAGGGACTGAGCAACGGGAGCTCACCCCGTCGTAGGGATTCGAACCGCCAACCTAGGCTTGAGAAGAACTCTGAACACTTTCTTATATATATATATATATATATATATAAAACTATAGAAAAGGTAAAAGGTAGTATTATCAGCTAATTTACTTTGCTGCTTCAAGTATAGTTGGAAGAAAACCATGTCAAACTGTCCAAATCTCTCCTGAATAATGATGAACCTCACCTTCTTGTGTCATGAAATCATCCTCACCAAAGCTATTCAAGTTGCCACAGAGTCCACAGGTCTTATTGTAGTGCTTGTCCGCAAGGATTATATGAATGTTTCCACTGATATCAGCCTTCACCACAAAGCCATGTTCTTCACTGGATAACTTATAATAACCTGCCTCCATTTCTATAAATACTCCATTGGAGGCATGAGGTATTGAAATCCTATGATTAGAGAAACAAAGATTCCTAAGTATAGGATGCAGAGAAAAATGATTCTTCACAATTCGTTGCCACTATCAAAATCTTTACCTTCCATCACCTTGAGTCACCGTGCCATCTAAAAACAAATGAATATCAAAATATTCTCCGAGGTACAGGGAAATACTGTTTCTTTTTCCATTCTGGTAATCGCCTGGAAAGAAACAAGATGTTATGAGTTTTCTCCCTTCAAAAATGACGCTTGCCCTTTTTAAGAAGTACAGACAGACCTTAAGGCCAGCCCCATACTGTTTCCTCATGTGCCCATTCACTCGACTTGGGCTTAGCATACAGGTTTTGTTTATGGCACTTAGTATGTAGAAATCTATAACACAGCTGTTTTCTGAGTTCTCCCGGAGAGCTGAGGGAGATGCCAGAGCCTTTACCATTGCCTTAGACCATCCGGCAATCATGGCCTCATGCCAACATGACTGATCTTGCATACAGAAACTGAGGGGTGATAACAGGGTGCAGCTCCTGTTTGTACAAAGGCCGATTTTAGCAGTAAGCAACCGCAGGGGAAGCAGGGTGACGCTCCAGCTTGACGTGGCCATGATCCCACAGAGAGGGTGGGCCTTTGTCTTTCATCTGAGTTGCGCTCAGAAACAAAGAATACAGCCACCACCTAAGTGAATGGCCTGTTTTGCTGTTTAATTCCTGATGTCCCTTTAGAAACATTATCCAAGTGCAACACCACTAAAATGATGATTGCGCACTAATTGACCTTTAATTATTTCCATTTAGTCAAAACCGTTTCACAACTATATTACATTTTCGGTTAGGCCCATTATGCCGCTAAACCTCAGTAAATGGAATTGTGCCATTGTCAAAGAGGACAATGATTTATGATTTCAATATACTGAACATAGAGGGATATATGCCAGGAAATCTTTACTGGCTGCCATTCCCTCCAGCTGTTTTGGGACTACAATTCCCATCATCCCTGACCACTGGTCCTGTTAGCTAGGGATGATGGGAGCTATAGTCCCAAAACAGCTGGAGGCCCAAGTTTGGCCATCATGGCAGCTAGGCACATGCCTACTGTCTGTCTGAGACTGCTTGTCTCTTCTTCAAGTTTTATGGGCTTGCCAGGAGAGCACCAGTGCAATACTGATACTCCCAAGGCAGTCACATCTTGCATGGAGCCTCTTTGGAATCGTGTCCCATTTCTTCAGGGAAGGGCTGAGGACTAAAGAAAAGGAGCTTGAAGCTGGAATGTAGGCAGCAACAAAATAAATCCTGGGCTTTTGCAGGATTTGGTTGGCAAGAAGCAGTCTTGAGGATCCAAGGACACACATTTTGTTCTTGGAGAAATGATGATCTTTCAAGGCTAGCCTTGCTTGTTCCTCCAAAACCACAACTTGCTTGTCATAATCCCCCATGTCCGTCTTCTCACAAAGAAATTGTCCCTGTAAAAAGCTAGGTCGTTCAGGGAAGTGAAGGAACATGACACGCTTTTAAGTAGTGTAAAAGCTTGCATATTCACTTTTTTAGTGCCCCAAGAATTGAAAAAAATTCATATATCATATATAATGCCTGCCCAAGCAGGGCTTGTCCTACTATTAGGCAGAACATGCCAGGGTGCTGTCATGGTTTGCATTGTTGAATTAGGACCTGGGAAATGGGTTTAAATTCCCACTCAGCAATGAAGCTCAATGGGAGACCTTGAACCATTCAGCCTCTCTCTTCATCTATCTCAAAGGGCTGTTGAGAAGATGAAATGGAGAAGTAGAGGAGACCCATGTATTCCATTTTTAACCCCTTTGGAGGAGAGGTGGGATAGAAATAGACAGCAACAGATAGGTGGCAATGAAGTGATGGCAGACAGAGCTGGGTGTGCCCCCGTCTGCCCTGCCCCCCTCACCTAGCCTGCTGCTCTCAGACATGGTGGCAGCTGCATTCCCATCGCCAGTGAGATTCAGCTGTCGGTCCAGCAAGCCTCCTTAAATGGAAGCGAGGGCACCATCTTAGACCTTTGCCCCAGGCGGCAAAATGTCATGAGCCAGCTTCTGGAAGTGGAATACAAATTGCCCACCTCTTGGCTTGGAAGCCAACAGTCTTGCTGCACAATATGGACAGCAATTCCTGCCTCCACCTGTCTCATGCTGCCGCCCCCACCCCACACACTTCACAAACATCTGCCACAAGGCTGGAAAAGGTAGAAAAGCCTATTGGCTAGATGTTAAAATCCAGAGAACAAAGTGGTTACAGATACCCAGATAACTAGATTGTTAGATTTCATTTAAACCTGACTATCAACCACAATTGTGTCCATGCACACAAGTTTGTTCATTCAGAATCCAGTTTAGACTCGCCCAAGAGTGAGAAGGATCTCGTGTGACAGTCTCCAGCAAGCAGATAACTGCAGTCACCGGCAAAATCATACAAAGATTCATCAAATGTTTTAATGTGGTGCTCTCCAAAAAGGCTACATTGTGCAAAAGGTTCAACATCTGCAAAAGAAAAAATAATAATGATATAGCATGTCCAAAATATTGAAGTGCAAATCTTGAGGGATGGCTGTGTTTCAGTTTGCATATTGAAACAGTGCTAATTTAACTCATGCTTTTGTTTATTCAAATGGTCCTTGCCATCCAGCAAACACAAGACTGTGCAAATTCCTCTCATATTAATCAATTGTACAACAATAAAGGTAAAGGGACCCCTGACCGTTAGGTCCAGTCGCGGACAACTCTGGGTTGCGGCGCTCATCTTGCTTTATTGGCCGAGGGAGCCGGCGTACAGCTTCCGGGTCATGTGGCCAGCATGGCGAACCAGAGCAGCGCACGGAAATGCCGTTTACCTTCCCACCGGAGCGGTACCTATTTATCTACTTGCACTGGTGTGATTTTGAACTGGCTAGGTGGGCAGGAGCAGGGACCGAGCAACGGGAGCTCACACCGTCGCAGGGATTCGAACCGCCGACCTTTCGATCGGCAAGCCCTAGGCTCTGTGGTTTAACCCCACAGTGCCACCCGTGTCCCTTGTCTATCAAATATAGTCTTAGATTAATTTAACTCTCCTGCCTGCACTGGTACCAAATTAACAAAATCAACGTCATCAAAAGAACTGAGCACCTTATAGTGTGAAGGAGGCAAAAAAGAGCCAGTGCCAAGTGCCAAGCAGGAGCCCTCCCCCCCCCAGCAAAAATATCCTACTCAGCCCCAGAAAAGGCAGCAGCAGAACCCTCCACTGTAAAGTGGGTGCCGGAGAGCTGTGCAATGAGGAGGAGGAAATGAGCAGCCTAAAATGCAGGGCTGCACTGCCCCCTCTTCGTTTGGTATTCCAAAAGCAATGACAAACCTGTACAGCATCTTAAAAGCAGAGACATCACCTTGCCAACAAAGGTCCGTATAGCTAAAGCTATGGTTTTCCCAGTAGTGATGTATGGAAGTGAGAGCTGGACCATAAAGAAGGCTGATTGCCGAAGAATTGATGCTTTTGAGTTATGGTGCTGGAGAAGACTCTTGAGAGTCCCATGGACTGCAAGAAGATCAAACGCATCCATTCTTAAGGAAATCAGCCCTGAGTGCTCACTGGAAGGACAGATCCTGAAGCTGAGACTCCAATACTTTGGCCACCTCATGAGAAGAGAAGACTCCCTGGAAAAGACCCTGATGTTGGGAAAAATGGAGGCACAAGGAGAAGGGGACGACAGAGGACGAGATGGTTGGACCGTGTTCTCGAAGCTACAAACATGAGTCTGACCAAACTGTGGGAGGCAGTGGAAGACAGAAGTGCCTGGCGTGCTGTGGTCCAGGGGTCACGAAGAGTCGGACACGACTAAACGACTAAACAACAAAACAACAACAACAACAAACCTTTTGGCCAAAAATCTACCTCTCTCTGGAAGAGACCGACATGAGCCTCTTCTGAGGAGGAGGGGGCGAGAATGCCATCGTCAATAGGAGCCCTAAAAGCAATGTAAAACTTTTCCTTTGTAGCATGGCCGGCTGTGCTGCAGAAGATCGCTCAGAGGGAAGAGAATCTTGAAGTTACCACCTGTTCATTGATGGGCAGTCGCTCCCAGGTCCTTTCTGCAGGGATTGGCTGTGTGATGGTGTTTCCTACAGGGAACTTGGTTGTGCAGCCAATTCAGTGGGCTTTGAATCACTGCCTATCAGCTGGTAGGTGATGGCATCAAGCCTGCTGGCATTCCCCGTACTGGGCAGGGGTCGGCTGAGCTAGCACGTACCCTATGGGAATTGTGCACTAGAAGCTGGCTTATCTGCCCCACACCTGGCATCACATATGACAAGAGGTGTGGGGCAGGGTCACATGGTCTGGGGAAGCAGCCTCAGGGGTTGTATAGGGGCCTCTGTCAGGCTAGTGAGATCCACAGTTTCCACACCCTGAAGGACAAGGAAGGGTGACAAAGGCCTAAAACATAATAGAGGAAGCGACAGGATTGGCTATTGAATTGCCCTATGCTGTTTGGGTTTGCACTGCTTTTGCACTGATGTTTTCTCAAAGGGAAAGGAGCAGCAGAAAAAGAGAGGAGAATGAAATAACGATAGTTTGATGGCTGCACCATCTGGGTGATCAGTAAAAAGTGAGTAAACTAGGATAGTGATTCTGGACTAACAAACCTGGTGTGGAAGCAGCTAGCGTATCTCGAAAAACTGCCAGCCTCTTCTATCTCCATCTAGAAGCTCTTTTTCCCTGCTGGCAATCGCCTTCCAGAAGTGTCTCCAGAGCAACAGATTTCTCCTAGCTTAGATAGCCAAGGATAACAGATCTGGCCAGGGCCAGGGGCTATACACTTAGCTACAGAACAGGTTTAACCATTTTAGCAGTCCTCCTCTTCTCCTGACCCCAGTCTCACAGTAATACATTAGAATACGGTTAGAAGGGACCCCAAGAGTCATTTAGTTCAATCGCATAATAATTATGTGTCTGCCTTATCCTCAGTTCAGACCACCAGACCATTTAGCTCATCCTTGTCTGCTCTGTGGCTCAGCGTGAATAAGCGCAAAGGTATGCACTTGGTGTGGAGATGGATTTCTCAATGAAATTGTTGATCCCTTGTTATGTTTGGGCAAGAACGCCAGGACAAAAAATGCAGGGCGTGAATTATAAACTTTCTTACCTAGTGCTGAGACAGGCAGAATTAACAAGAGCAGGAACACTATAGATCCCATCATCTGAAAAATAAACGCAACAGAGTTATTAGAAGTTTTCCCCACCCCTTAATGTGTCAAGCTGTAGAGGCAACAGTACAAATAGCGAACGGCTTATGCACATTTTAGTTATATTGAGCATGATCTAGCCAAAGTTAATGCTTTGATTTCAATAGGATTAAAACAGGATTGAAATCAATGGGTCTTTAAAGTGCATAGCCGTGCAGTACAACCCTACACATATTTACAAAGAAGCAAATCTTGTTGGATTAAATGGGATTTATTGCCATGAGAGTGTGCATAGGGTTTTAGGCTTAATCAAATCCCGTTCATTCTTTTTATATTCATTGGCATTCTATTTCTCCTCCATTTGTGAAGGATATTTGGACCCCAAAAATGTGATTTATTAATTGGTCTCTTTCCTCCACCCCCCACCCGCAAGCTATATATAAAAAAAATTACATGCTTTGTATTTATTACAAAATATGTATAGGGATGTCTCTCTATGGCTTACAACCAGCCATCTCCAGAGCCATGCAGCGACATGAGACAGATGTGTGTGTTGTTCACAATTGCACCAGTTACTCCTGCCCCTTCATCACACCCAATCTTTATTCGTTGGACTGGATCTGCACTGGATTCTATGCACAAACTCTGCAATGCATGTAGGTGTTTGTATCTAGCCCTTGGAAAATGAAGAGTGCATTCAGAACTTATGCCTGTTGGAGTGTGCACATACAGACAGGACTGGGGGTGGTGTCAATGGCCATGATCCTGCCTCCCCCAATATAACTAAATGTGCTTTGTGTAGCCATCTACACAGGGCTTCAAAAACCAGATTATTTATACCAGGGAGAAGAGTCGGTGGAAGAAGATTGGAAGAAATTTAAAGACTATTTACAGAAATATTGTAAAATTAATGAATGTTAGAATGATGTTGGATAAAAAGTTAAGTGGTTTTTAGCTATAACGCTATAAGGAATATGAAAAAATGGATTATTAACAGGTAAAAATTGAATGTTACAATATTTTAAGATTAAAGACTAGGATAAACAAAGAGGGAAAGGATTTGCTGAACTAACAAATTGAATGGGAATACAAAAAGGGAGGTGTGAGGAGGTCCGGGAAACAAGCAAATGAAAGATAAGTGATGGAAAGATGGAATTGTTTTTTAACTATTTTTATTTTATGCTTTCAAATACAGGAAGCTAATAGACTTTAACCAACCTGGAGTGAATATGGATAAGCATTTACCAACTAGTAACTTCTCACAGAGTGTACGTAACCAGTTGGTAGCAAGCAGCCAAGTGTTGGGAAGATTTTTTTACCACTCCTTTCTCCCCCAGATTTCTGAGCAAGTGCAGAAGCATGGTAATATTTACCTTATCTCTTAGCAGAATTATACAAAGTGGTTTATGAAGTCATTACATGCCCACTGTAGTAAGTTATCCTGCAGCCAATGCTTCAGTTTGTATGTGTCCCTATGAAACTGGTATAACAGCCCAGCCAGGCTGCCACATGCTAAATGCGCTGGCGCAATGCAAACACTTTTGGGGGCAGGTTTGGGGAAAGGGAGGGGGAAATATGCAGTTGATTGAATTATGTTATCAGTTACATGGAATAAATTCCCACATGTCTAATTTCACTAATACCAGTGAAACACAAATTTGGTGTATGCATGTATGGAAAATTAAACAAGAACATTTGAAAAATTCAGCAATAGCAAAGAAAACAACAGAATCACAATACTTACAGTGGATGGATTCCTGGCAGATGAGCTGCCAGGTTGCATGTAATAAGTTTCCAAAACTATCCAGCACAAGGTTCTATGAGAGTATAGCTTCAGAATATTATTAATGACTGGGTCCCTGAGGAATCAGTGAAATTTGATGGACAGGCCCCCCATTCTGGGTGCTAGTATAGAAAAAACTCTTTGCAATTGGTCCAACTTAAAAGTCTAAATGTGATCTTAAAAAAGAACAGTTGAGAGTAAAATCAACTGGAGGTTCTTATATTTTGTGTAACAAGTCAGTTCAATGTCACAGTATATTCTGTATCATCACAACCACCCAATGACATAAGCCAGACTGCAATGGTGTCTGAAAGATCTCCAGGCCATCCAATCTACTTTACCTCTAAGCTGGAATACGAACCCAGGTCCTCAAACGTACAGCAGTTACTCCTTGCATCAGAGACATTCTAGAACTCTAAAATTTTCACAACCCTAAGTACACACATGCACTTCCATACTTTAATTTAAGCTTGCTTTTTGCCTTTTGCCCATTTCTGATTCCACGAATATTTCTTTTGACTACCCACATCAAATAAAGCCTGAACAACCCAGATGGTAAACAAGTATCAGTTTTCTAAACATTTATCTGTTGTAAATTCCTTCCTAACATTTATAAAGGGTCCACTTAATTATTTTCAACCGATGGACCTACACTCTGCTGCATCAACGATAATCACAAAATCTGCTGAAATAATAATATAGATACCTTTGCTTCTGTGCAAAATTTAAATTGCCCATCAACAATGTGCTTCTCTAATGATGGAAGCTAGACTCCTGAAGGTCCTTAAGCCTCCTCTCCTTTAGAAGGCCACATTGGAATGGCCTCGGTGGGCTATTTGTTCCTGTTATATAAGCCAGGAATTCTTGTTCACCAAAGGGAAAAGATAAAGGGTGACGGTTGCTTCCGCCAGATTTGCAACACAATGGTGCAACCAGGAAAATCAGTTGCCTTAATGGCTAAAAAATAACAATGAAGGGAAGTCGTATTAAATATCTTTACAAGACAGATAAACCTTTGAAATGATGTGTGCGTCTCCGTGTGCGTGAGCATAAAAGTCCGGGAGACGTTTTGCTTATGCGCTGCAAATAAGACTTTACAGCCAGTTGGGGGGGAAGGAGGGAAATAATAGATTTGGTTATATTGGAAAGCAATACCGTGCTTCCTGACAGTAGCAAAGTGATAGCTTCCAAATAAGACGATGATTGACGCTTATTTCTAAAGAGCTGACAGCTTTCCTGGAGAATAAAAACAGAAGTGGGGCCAGTTGACACCTCACCACTCCCAAGTCAATAAGTTGGTGTCCTTGGTAATAAAAACTTGTCCTACTGCTTAATCTAACCCAGTAACAGGGACACAACCATTCAAGGTCTCAGGCAGAAGGCTTTCAAAGCCTTGTTGCCTGTCTTCCTTTTAACTAGGTGATCTGGAGACTGAACCTAGGACTTAATGGAAGCCACTAATAATTGAATGGACGCGGGTGGCGCTGTGGGTTAAACCACTTAGCCTAGGGCCTGCCGATCAAAAGGTCAGCGGTTCAAATCCCCGCGACGGGGTGAGCTCCCATTGCCCCAAACTTCCTTGGTGAACTCTTTCTGGATTCACTAGAAGAAAGTTGAGTCTTAAGTGGAGCATACTCGCAACCACTGGGCATTATAGTATCTGTGGGTTAAACCACAGAGCCTAGAACTTGCCGGTCAGAAGGCCGGCGGTTCGAATCCCCACGACGGGATGAGCTCCCGTTGCTCGGTCCCTGCTCCTGCCAACCTAGCAGTTTGAAAGCACGGCAAGTGCAAGTAGATAAATAGTTACCGCTCCATAGGGAAAGTAAACAGCGTTTCCATGCGCTGCTCTGGTTTGCCAGAAGTGGCTTAGTCATGCTGGCCACATGACCTGGAAGCTGTATGCCGGCTCGCTTGGCCAATAAAGCGAGATGAGCACCGCAACCCCAGAGTCATCCATGACTGGACCTAACAGTCAGGGGTCCCTTTACCGTTACCTTTACTAAGAATTGAACCTGCACCTGTCACCTTAGCCCAACTCCTGCCTGTTTCTAGGAAAACAGTCAGTCTGGCTCCTTCCTTTCAATAAGGCAATGTGTAGCGAGACTTTAGGAATAAGGTATACAGTGACTTGTTCATGAAACACGCAACTTTGAATGTTATACTTAAAAATATATGTAACCTATTATCATTATTATTTTATAAAATTTATATAATGCTTGTTTGTAGAAATAAAATCTCAAAGCCGTTTAGACACGAGGTGATTGCGTCAAGTTGGAACGGTCCCTCTTGGCAGATGTTGGAAATGGGTTAGCTCTGGTTTTTTCCAGGGATCACCAACCTTTTTGAACTCGTAGGCACATTTCAGATTTTGACAGAGTGTTAGGAACCTGTTACAAAATGGCTGTCCTGGAATGGCATGGCAAAACACAAAATTAGAGAGACAATGGGCAATGTATTGTTACATCGTCAGAAACCGGTTTGAAGTCCACATCGTGGTAACAGTTTCATAATATTAAACATGGTGATATATCACGATGTGTGTGTGTTATGTAAAAAAACCCTGTGATGTGGTTCCTTGTTGCTCTGTACTGTAACAGTTGTAAGAATATGTTAAAGGTAAGTTTTAGACCCCTAAATAGTAGCAATTTCCAGGACATTACTCCTTTACATTGTTATTTCAGACATCGTGATATATCGATAGATCACAGTGGTTAGCTGGTGACACCTGAAGGAGCGTCTCCACCCTCATCGTTCAGCCCGGACACTGAAATCCAGCGCCGAGGGCCTTCTGGCGGTTCCCTCCCTGCGAGAAGTGAGGTTACAGGGAACCAGGCAGAGGGCCTTCTCGGTAGTGGCACCCGCCCTCCCATCAGATGTCAAGAAAATAAACAACTATCTGACATTTAGAAGACATCTGAAGTCAGCCCTGTTTAGAGACGTTTTTAATGTTTGATGTTATATTGTGTTTTTAATATTCTGTTGGGAGCTGCCCAAAGTGGCTGGGGAAACCCAGCCAGATTATTAGATGCTGAAAGCCAGACATCGCTCAGTCCTAGAGACAACCACCCCTAAGACAACCTTATGGGGCATCATCTGTGTCCTGCTGGTCCAGATTATGGAGTCACCACTGATGCTGTTCCTGTCTAACAACAACAGGGAGCATTTTAAAGTACAGTGGTACCTCGGGTTACAGATGCTTCAGGTTACATACACCGCTAACCCAGAAATAGTGCTTCAGGTTAAGCTTCAGGTTAAGCATTTTGCTTCAGGATGAGAACAGAAATCAGGCTCCGGCGGCACAGCGGCAGCAGGAGGCCCCATTAGCTAAAGTGGTGCCTCAGGTTAAGAACGGTTTCAGGTTAAGAACGGACCTCCGGAACGAATTAAGTACTTAACCCGAGGTACCACTGTACCAGGAAAATCTATTTAAGCTGGCCATACCACTCTTATTTCACAGAAATAATTTCGAATGTGCCTACACATTTTGACCCACGACCTCCTTCCTAGGAGTGCTAGAAACTTACTTAAAAGAAAAAGAAAGTTCAGAGTCTGTGGCACATGCCCAAGGGCAGCGCTGGAAGCTTTTGTGGGTACATTGGCACCCACAGGAGCTGGGTTGGTGACCCCTGTCTTGCACGCCCAGTGGGAGTTCTGCTTTCATGAGCAATGAAGAGTCGCCTTCCAGTAAGTGCCCTCTCCCTGGCATAGGGTATATGCTGAGGATAGAGGGCTTCATTTGGTGCGCCCTGCAGGGAGCATCATGCTGACCTGAAGCAGGGCCAGAGACCAATGGGGGTCGCAATGTAAAGCCCAACAATACTGCAGCTGGGCTGAGATGGCGTGCAGCTGCCAGAGCATCTGCTAGAAGACACCTCCAGAGGGGTGACCATGGAGCGCCCACAGAGAAGTAGAAAATGGGCAGTGCTGGCTGGATTTTGGTGGCAAACACCCAAGACAGGGGCACCAGGAAAATAAGCAGCTTTTGTCCAGTGGCAGCATTCAGCAGCCAGGAGAGAAAAAAGACATGGAAAGTGCTGGTTTGGTTTTGATGACAGGGAAATATGGCCCAAGGCAGGAGGAGCAGGAAAGGTCACATTTTGGACAGCAAAATTCAACAGGGATAGCAAAATCGACAGCTGGTGGGGGAATGTTCAGAGGGGCACAGGTTGGCCACATGTGGTTTATTCTGCTACTTCTATGCCAGGGTGATGGGAACTGCGATTCAAATTCGTAGATCAATTGACCAAATGGAATCCCAAATGCCGCCCATTTCCTCTTGTGATTAAAGGTAAAGGGACCCCTGACCATTAGGTCCAGTTGTGACTGGCTCTGGGGTTGTGGCGCTCATCTCTCTTTACTGGCCAAGGGAGCTGGCGTACAGCTTCCGGGTCATGTGGCCAGCATGACTTCTGGCGAACCAGAGCAGCACACGGAAAAGCCATTTACCTTCCCGCTGGAGTTGTACCTGTTTATCTGCTCGCACTTTGACGTGCTTTTGAACTGCTAGGTGGGCAGGAGCTGGGACTGAGCAACGGGAGCTCACCCCGTTGCAGGGATTCGAACCGCCAACCTTCTGATCGGCAAGTCCTAGGCTCTGTGGTTTAACCCACAGATAATATAATGCCCAGCGGTTGCGAGTATGCTCCACTTAAGACTCAAATTTCTTCTAGTGAATCCAGGAAGAGTTCACCAAGGAAGTATGGGGCAACCTGTTCATTTATATAGATCTTTGTACAAATAGCAGGAATTCATTGGCTCTTCAGTAACCTTGGCTGCCCGAACAAAAAACAACAGATTCTTTGTAATCTCATGGAAAATTGGCAACTCCTCTGCAATACCAACACCCAGACTTTCAAAACTGCATTTTGAAAGCTGTCTATATTTAGAAAAAAATAAATATGTAAAAGGAAGTAGTAATAAATGAACATCAAGTTTCACGATATTATTCATAAATACTACGTCAGAGTTATTGCACAGCAAATGGGTTGTGCAGCTATGTACAAAGGAGTCATATATGAACATCACGTAGCAGATTATTCATAAGTATTATGTAACAAGAGTTGCACAGCTACTTGTGGAAATTCCGCCTGGTGGAAAAGTCTTTCTAGGGCAATGGCAGTTGTCTTCTCCTGGTTCTACAATGGATCAAGGTTGTAGTCACAGCCAAAAACACTTTAACAAACCTCTGCTGGCAGATGGCTGGCTTTCTCCCTCACACTCTGCTCACGTGCCTTTGAACATTAGTTTGAAATACTAAAATCTGGCAAATGAAGATTTTTCTTAACCCTGAGATATCTAACAGCAAAAAGTTTTATTTATACCCCACCCATCTGACTGGGTTGCCGCAGCCACTCTGGGCAACTTCCAACATATATAAAAACACGATAAAACGTTAAATATTTTAAAGCTTTCTTGCCTACAGATATCTTCCAAAGGTTGTATAGTTACTTATCTCCTTGGCTTGGTGGGCTCATAACCCCATGCCCACCAACATTTCTCTGAGGAAAATAGGGAGGTCCTAAAGGAAAGCGGGGCATTCTGGGATCAAATCAGGAACCGGGAAGGCTTCTGTAAATCTGGGACCGTCCCTGGAAAATAGGGACACTTGGAAGGTCAGATGTTCCTTTAACACAGAAGAAATAGTTTTCAGCAAGTTCAGCCTTTTTTCACTCCTACATGACAGGTTTCTCCTACTGCTGCACAAGATGTCTACAAGAACCTTGTCCTCCTTTGCACTGCCACCCCCCAGGTCTACTACTTCCCTATATAACTTTATCCAGAGTTTAAAGATATTTTCTTAACAAGTTACCA